TGTGGCAACATGAAACCAGATCCCTGAAGTCCAATAGTTTAGCTCCATCATCTATTCTGCATGGTCTGTAGATCAGTTTAGAATACCCAGGAGAACTGATGAAGCATGGAATGAGAGAGTGGAATGTAACAAAATAAATCTTAAATCTAATCAGTACCTGAAAGGGAAACTGTAAACGGTGGGATGTAAATTGATGGGATGAAATAAATTTTGTCCATTTTTTTTTTTTGCACTTCCTTCACTTGTGACTATGGTAAATGCACAGTCACCGCCCACAAGATCATCCCCGTTGAACGAAAGAATAATTTACAAAAACCTTGCACCCGTTCAGAACGTGGGACGTAAACCTTTCCCTTGTATGCTTTTGCTCTTACAATTCCACAATTCTTCTGCATGCTTTTAAACTTCCTTTCCTTGGATAACTGTGTCTTGTTTGTTTTATAGTTTTTGTAGAAATCGATACTATATAGAGCCAGGAAGAAAAGGAACATTCATGCAGGGGATCTTATTATTAACTTCAATAGGTAGCTGAAGGATTTGCCTTCTGGGGTTTTACTTATCCCGACATAATCCCTTGATATATCTCCTCCTTTACATAATAGGATTCATTGTACAATACAAATGCCGAAGGACCAAACTTCATTAGAATGTGTGTTTACACTAATCAAGGCTAAACGAGGGACTGATTTCCCCGTTAGTAATTGTATTCAGTAACTTGCCAATGCCACAGAATTGTTTTGTTGTCATACGATTATGGATAATCTGGAGGCCCACCACAAAGCCTGCAATATACAGAAGGTATAATTACTTGCTACTAGTAGGGATTGTTGTTAGTTGCGAAGTTGTGTCCGACCCATCGCGACCCCATGGACAACGTTCCTCCAGGCCTTCCTGTCCTCTACCATCCTCTGGAGTCCATTTAAGCTCACGCCGACTGCTTCAGTGACTCCATCCAGCCACCTCGTTCTCTGTCATCCCTTTCTTCTTTTGTCCTCCATCTTTTCCAGCATTAGGCTCTTCTACAGTGAGTCCTTCCTTCTCATTAGATGGCCAAAGTATTTGAGTTTCATCTTCAGAATCTGGCTTTCAACCATAGCCTTGACTATACGCACTTTCGTTGGCAGGGTGATGTCTCTGCTTTTTAGTATGCTGTCTAGATTTGCCATAGCTTTCCTCCCCAGGAGCAAGCGTCTTTTAATTTCTTGGCATAGCTTCATTGAACTATGCAAGCCCCTTCGCCATGACAAGTCCATGAAGGGGACTAGTAGAGATAGGAGGTCTCAATATGTTGGGTTATTTTAAATCTGCCATGAGTAAAACAGAACTTCCATAGCACAAATACAGCTACCATTTGAATTTTATTTTACCCCAATCCTGCAGTCGCTCTTTGCTATGAGCTGTATAGCCCGAAACGTATAAACTTATTGACAAATCTCTCTAGTTTTGATCCTGAATCCTTTCTGCCTAGAGTTGGCAAGGAGTCGAAGCTAAGATTTTTGCACGCAAAATGTGTGTAAATTTCAGCTGCTTTGTATATCTTCCGAAGGAGAAATATTGATAGAAATGATTAAAATAACTTTCAGACACTTTTCTTTAATACTGTATAGTTTTAAAGAGCCATGGTGGCGCAGTGGTTAGAATGCAGTATTGCAGGCTAATTCGTCAGTTCGATTCTCACCGGCTCAAGGTTGACTCAGACTTCCATCCTTCTGAGGTCAGTAAAATGAGGACCCGGATTGTTGAGAGCAATATGTTGACTCTGCAAACTGCTTAGAGAGGGCTGTAAAGCACTGTGAAGCGGTATATAAGTCTACCTGCTATTACTATTTCCTTGATTGATGTTGGTGAAAACATAGATGTGTGTAACTGTTAGATTGTCTTTATTTATGGTCAAAAAGTAGTTTGGGTGCAATCAATGCTCAGGACAAAAAAATGTTCCCACTTAATAGCCTCGCATCTATAAAGTATCAAGCTTATAAACCAGCCCATTCTGCTAAAACATATTTAACAGTCAATCATACACATACTTTTTTATTGTAATGACTGATCTGATAAGAGATTGTATAATGACTCTTGCTTTACTATTAATTGGGTTAGAAGGGATATTAATAGGTCTGAATGAGCATCTGCATTTTATCAGCAGTGCAGGAATTGGTGCATGGTTGCATCTGTTCCTCTGGCTGCACGTAGACCAATCTATTCTAAGGATACCTTGCTATATTTCTTTTCCAGAGACATTGATGGTAAGACATTCAGCAGGAGAAGAGAAAGCTCTTTGATGTGAAGCATAAGCAATATTAAATAATAATGTAAAAATTCTTGGCCTGGCCTCTTCCCATCAAATTATTTTTAGTGGCTTATATCTTAACAACCACGACCTGACTATAATCTTAACCTTCTCAGAAGCTGACAGGAGAATCTAAAATATTAAATGCTGTTTTCAAGGTTTTTTTTTTTTTCCTTCCAAGAAATATAACCATTCAGGATACTGGAGGTTGAAGTTCGAGATAAAAATCTCTACTTAAATCAATATTTTAAGCAACCTCATTCTAGGGCCATCACTCATTCTAAGCGTAAACACACAATGGGAATACATCAGAGGCAGGGGTGAAATTAAAAATTTTCCCTATTGGTTTTGTGGGCGAGGTTGGTGGGCGTGGCAGGGGAAGGATACTGCAAAATCCCCATTCCCACCCCACTCTGGGGCCAGCTAGAGGTAGTATTTGCCGGTTCTCCGAACTACTCAAAATTTCTGCTACCGGTTCTCCAGAACCTGCTGGATTTTACCCCTGATCAGAGGGCCTGGAATATAGCTGTTAACATTTTTAATGAATAGTTTTCAGTGTCGGGAATCTTTATGGCTACCCACCTGAAAATTTTATATCATTTCACTGGTTTTCTTGGCCTTAAAATCTTCAAGCGCCACCCGTATGTAATTGCTGTCCAGTGGACAGGAAACTTGGGACTTAACCTGGATACAGGGGTGTGTGTGTGTTTGTGTGTGTGTGTGTGTGTGTTAACTTTGCCTACATCCCATCCAGAGGTGGTATTCAGCCGGTTCGGAAGAACTGGTAGTGGAAATCACAGGTGGGCCTGCCCCAGCTCTATCTTGTCCTAATTAGGCACGTTTTGAGGCCGGGCGCATTGCGTGGAAGGCCCACACGTGAGCAAAGCACATGCACGGAAGGCCGGGTGTATACGTGGAGGTCACATTTCCGGTGCTGGGTGAACCGATAGGTAAATTATGTGACTCCCACCTCTTATCCCATCCATACGTGTTTATGGACCATTCTCTTTCTTGAGAATATTATAACCTGTGCTTTGATATAAGGTATAAGCAAACATTTGGTAAACCCTGTTTGAACAGGGACGTGAGCAGACAATTGTCCTTGAGCATCCTGATAGTATCTTGAGACATAACAGACACTGTTAGCTGGAGGAATGTTTTAATCACCACAACCTGTGTATGGGAATTAAACTAATTATCGATTTAAGGTCCACAAATGTTGCATACAAGGCGTTCCAGGAAATGCTGGGGTACTTGCTACCTGCTCTTCAGCCAAAGAATAGAATAAAATAGGGTAGGGTAGGGTAGGGTAAGGTTGAGTTGAGTTGAGTTGAGTTCTTTATTGGCCAAGTGTGATTGGACACACAAGGAATTTGTCTCTGGTGCATAAGCTCTCAGTGTACATAAGGAGAATAAAATACATTCATCAAGAATAAAAAGATATGACTACATTTTAGGCACTCTAGTAATTTCCAAATACATGGCACAACAAACTTTTATCAATCACAGTTTTGTGTGTGTGTGTGTGTGTGTGTGTGTCGCCCACAGGATTGGGGGAAGAGGTATACTTACAAAGGACTGCCAGCTGGCAGGCTTAAATAAATAGATCTTATCTAGAAACTCTAATCTCTTGTGTTTTCACTTGGATTTGTTATCCATCACTTTGTTCTCTTGGCTCTTAAAAACATTATTTGTTTGGTAGCAAACCTCTGCCAGGGATCATCCCCAAAGTGATCATATTTCCGCATTTTGAGAACAGCTCAATATACTGTACTCTTCAGTTTCTGTGGATATATGAAAAAAAAAAATATTAACACGTTGAGCACAATGTTGAAGTTATTGGAAGGAGCAAAGAACTTCCTTATATTTTCAGAACTGAAACCAAAACATTTTAGGGTGCTATTTTAATGATTTTTATTTTTAACTCAATTCAGCTATGCATTTTTTGAAGGTTTCCTGCATATATCACATATAGATTCTCATGATTTTACAGGTAGCTTTGAAAAAATTAAGAGTTTTAAGTGTCACATATTTTCTTATTCATCACAGAGGTACTATTGAATTAATTCTCTTAATTAATTAGAACAATTTACTTTCTTATTTTAATTTATTAATTTGTTGTGTTACATATCATTAAATTGTTCTCGTTTGCTCAGCTGCTCACAGCTGTTCTACAGATCTCAGTAAATGTAAACTAGGCATTAATATACCACGTTTCATTTTATGGCAAGCTTTCAGTAGTTTATTGTGACTGATTTAAAAACATTTTGTTTTGCCTATCAGAATTGTTTCAATGCCTAAGAATATATCACAGAATCACATTTATAGGAGCATATATTGTAGATTTTCTTTCATGGCATGGCTGTTTTATGTATTAGGCAATGCGTAGTGGAGCATGAATCTCCTTCTCTTTTGAGAGGATGTGGTTGGGTTGGTTTTTTTTTTTTTTTTGTTTTTTGCAGTGCAAATCTGAAATTCGTGTTCCATAAAGAACATTTTCTGAAAAACTACTGTGTCCACCATAATTTGCCTAGAATGCTTTCTTTACTAAACGGGAAAGTTTACAAAGGTAAAACTTTTCAATCTCGCCTGTGAACATGGCATACAGAACCCAAAATCTTTGCAGGAGAATTAAGCTTGCATTTTCCAAAATAAATTCGTGGTAATTCAAGTCTGAGTACTGATCTGCATTGGTGACTTCTTTGCCTTTCAGAACACTGCATAAAGATCTAGAGATCAGTGACAGTGAAGACTGCGATGATGACCAAGTTAGTATCTCTCTCTCTCTCTCTCTCTCTCTCTCTCTCTCTATATATATATATATATGTATATGTATATGTATATGTATATGTATATGTATATGTATATGTGTATATATATATATATATGTATGTATATATGTATGTATGTATGTATGTATGTATGTATGTATGTATGTCTCAGAGGTGGGTTTCAGCAGGTTCTGACCAGTTCTGGAGAACCGGTAGCGCAAATTTTTGAATAGTTCGGAGAACCGGTAGTAAAAATTCCAACTGGCCCCGCCCCCATCTATTCTCTGCCTCCCAAGTCCCAGCTGATTGGGAGGAAATGGGGATTTTGCAGTAACCTTCCCCGGGATTGGGGAGGGAATGGAGATTTTACAGTATCCTTCCCCTGCCACGCCCACCAAGCCATGCCACACCCACCAAGCCACACCCACAGAACCGGTAGTAAAAATTTTTGAAACCCACCACTAGATACATACTCACCCTCCCTCCCTCCCCCCCTCTCTATATATATGTGTTTGTGTGTGTGTGTGTGTGTCTGTCTGTCTACACACACACACACACACACACACACACACACACGCACGCACACAACTATGAATCAGTCTTTCCCCAACCTTGTGTACAACTCACAAAATTCCTGACCTTTGTGCTGTGCTGGCAAAGAATTTTGAGAGTTCTAATATGGTGCATCTGTAGGGCACATGGTTGGGGTAGATTAATCTTTCAAATACGTAGACTGCATTTACATTTTTCTGTGGTCCATTTTCTGTATAGACTGGTTAAACTAAACTTTCTCTTTTTCATTTCCCTTTTATCAGGTTTCTGATAAACCGTCTTCCTCATCAACACCTCCAAGGTACAATTCCATTATGAAGAATAAGAGGGAATTGTGAGGAGGGGGGCTTGATGTAAACACTCACTATGTGTAACTAGAAATTTCTGTAAAAGTTTTCAGAGAGTAGGAAAAGTTAAATGAGACGAGTTAAAACTTTTCCCAGATATTTGTAAGGAAGGCCTATTTTGAAACCAACAGAAGCTATTAAAACTCGGAAAAATACTGAGTGTTGCTTGAGCTCAAGACTGTGATAATAAGAAGGAGCAAAACGGTTATGTCCTTAATAACTCACTGCACATCCAGTTTGCAGAGGGGATAGTAAATATGATATGAAGTACCTATTATGTATGCTAATATCAGCTCCATGGAGGAAAATTAGGTAGTTTGAAACAGTGCATATTCAGAAGTGTTCTCATTGTTTTCAAAGCAATCTCAAATATTGCTAAGTAATCTAATCTTACCTTGCTGTAAAATCCAGTGTGGTTTAAAAATCAAGACTTGTTCTCAGCTAATTGTTCTTCTCCCTGCCTCTTCCAGCATATTAGCCATTTCTTTCCTTGTTGGCATTGTATTTTATTGCAAGTATACTGAGGTCATTGTAGAGTGGTGTGGTAGCCTAGAGGTGGAGCTCTCGCCTCACAATCAGGAGGCTGTAGGTTCGATCCTACCGTAGGTAGAGGCAGATATTTCTCTCTCTGGGCGCAATGAGAATATATCTGCCGAACAGAGGTGGGTTTCAGCAGGTTCTGACCAGTTCTGGAGAACTGGTAGCGGAAATTTTGGGTAGTTCAGAGAACTGATAAATACCACCTCTGACTGGCCCCGCCCCCATCTATTCTCTGCCTCCCAAGTCCCAGCTGATCGAGAGGAAATGGGGATTTTGCAGTAACCTTCCCCTGGAGTGGGATGGGAATGGAGATTTTACAGTATCCTTCCCTTGTCACTCCCACCAAGCCACGCCCACCAAGCCATGCCATGCCCACCAAGACACACCCACAGAACTGGTAGTAAAAAAAATTTGAAACCCACCACTGTGGGCATCCGGCCAGTAAACACTCAGCTCCGTTCAGTTGCCCAAACTCCACCCCTCAAGGGATTATGGGGTCATTAAAAGAAGATGATGATACTGAGGTCATTGTCCCAGAGTCGCAAAATCACCTTTTGCGACCTTCTGACAAGCGAAATCAGTGGGAAAACCAGATTCGCTTAACAACTGTGTTACTGACTTAAGAACGGCAGTGTTTCACTTAAAAACTGTGGCAAGAAAGGTCATAAAATAGTGCAAACTCACTTAACAACTGTCTTGCTTAGCAATGGAAATGTTGGGCTCCATTGTGGTCGTAAATCGAGGACTGACTATGACACCTTCATTCTAATCTGCAGTAAAGTAACTAACCTACTTGAGTTGTATCCATAAGCTTTTTTTTTTTTTTTAAAAACAAAACCCTAAGCATCTGAAAAGCCAGAATGGCATCTCAATAGATACTGTATGTATAACAGGGCAAAAGACCTTGGAATAAAAAGTTTTGCCCAAACAGTAAAAGTTTTACAACTAAACTGTGAATCTAATCTTGAGGGTATTTTTCCGTAAAAATTCATTCCTGCTTACTAGAAATATAAACACTGTAAGTTTTGAGCAGCATCCTTTCGGATAAAAGTATTGATTCCAAATGCATATTATTTTTTGGCATATTTCCCAATAAACTGTTTAAGCAACTGCTAATGTTTTTCTCCATGATGCCTGAACTTGACACTAATAATTACCTTGTTCTTGAAGCTGTTGTATTCTTCAACTGTAGATCTGGAATTAGTAGAAAATTTGCCTTTAAGCGATGCAAAATCCACCAGTGTGGGCAAAAATTTGGGGGGAGGGGGGGAAACCTGTTCATTTAAAAAAAAATACATTAGAAAAGTACATGCACGCTGATAGCCCCCGAAATAACCAAATCTCAGAATAAAAGGAGATTACAGTTTAAATATGGAGTGTGGAGGAAGAATAACTTCAAGCAGTTTTGTGTGTGGGAAGTTCAGTAACAAGCCATTAATTATATTGAAGTCAACTGATAGGTTTGAGTTGAATGCAAGGCATGTTTCAGCATGTAAACCTTAAGATAGGGGCATTTTCAGCTAATTTGATATTCTGCTAGGCATTGCTTCACTTGTGCTAGTCAAATGTTTGCTATCGTTGGGAAAATGATCATAGGCTGTGTTTTGGACTGGTGTGTATGTGTGTGTGTAAAAATAATTAATTCATGCCAAGGTTTCTGATTCATGTGTAATGTGATAGTAAAGTTCTGGCCCAGTAGGTTTCACTGAAGGGTCTAGGACAGAGGTGTCAAACTCGTGGCCTGCGGGCCAGATGCGTCACATGCTGGCCACACCCACGCCTAGTTTAGCGAAGGGTGAAAAAGTCACAATACGTCACGTGATGATGCGGGTTTGACATCCCTGGTCTAGGACAACTCACCACGGTCAACTTCCGTGGGACAAGAATTACAGTAATATCAACAAAATGGTGGAACAGAATCATTAAAATAGGATAAAAAAGGAGGGACAAAATGATAAAAAAATTAAAATTATTTTCAACCATTAAATGGAATTGTTGAATTGTCCCATGGCAAGTTGGCTGGTGGGGAGTTGGCCGGTGGCAAGTTGTCCCATTCTATTCACTGAAGCCTCTCCGTGATGTAATCTAAGGTTAGATCCAGGGTTTGAACTGGGGAACCACAGGTAGTCCTCAATTTACGACTACACTTGGGACCAGACTTTCGGTTGCTAGGGGAGGCTGTTGTTAAATAAGCTTCACCGATGTTACTACCTTCTTTCTGCCAAGCTTGTTAAGCAAATCACTGCCGTTGCTAAGTGAACCACATGGTCGTTAAGCAAGCCTGGCTGCCTCCATCGATTTTGCTCATCAGAACTAGCAGAGAAGTTGCAACCATCATCAATACATACCAGTTGCAAAACCCCCTGAATTTTGATCATGTAATCAGAGGGGATACTTGTGATAGTCAGAAGTGCGAGGATTGGTCATAATGTAATGCTGTTATAACTTTGAATGGTCACTAAACAAAAGGTTGTTGATCAGGGACTACCTATAATACAAATACCACAGGCGTGAATCAGCCCAAAACAATAGTTTACCTCCTCAAATTGGCCTCGTTTCTAGAAATAATAATTAAAAAAAAGGTAAAGGTTTCCCTGTCAGCCGTGTCCGACTTTGGGGCATGGTGCTCATCTCTGTTTCTTGGCCAAGGGAGCCAGTGTTGTCCAAACACAATTTCCATGGTCGTGCGGCCAGCATGGCACATGGAATACTGTTAACTTCCCACCGAAGTGGTACCTATTAATCTAATAGGTGGAGTTTAAAACATATAAAGAATGCTTGCTGGAATTGGGTATGTCTAATTTAATGAAAAGAAGGACCAGGGGTGACACGATAGCAATGTTCCAATATCTCAGGGGCTGCCACAAAGAAGAGGGAGTCAGACTATTCTCCAAAGCACCAGAAGGCAGGACAAGAAGTAACGGGTGGAAACTAGTCAAGGAGAAAATCAACCTAGAACTAAGGAGAAATTTCCTGATAGTGAGAACAATTAATCAATGGAACTGAAGTTGTAGATCGGGTATCAAACACAAGGCCCGTTGGCAGGATCCGGCCTGCAATGTTCAGATCCAGCCCATGGGATTGTCCTGGAAAATGTAAGGGGCTGGCCCGCATCGTTTTGGCGAAGAAGAAACATTGGGCCAGCGTGGCTTCGGCCCCAGTCTACCCAGTGCGAAGAGGAAACATGCCAGCAGTTTGGGGAGTGGTGTCAAGCTGGCCACAACCACCCAATCAGCCAGGCCAAGTGAGTGGCATCAAGATGGCCATGCCCACCCAGTCAGCCAGGCCAAGTGAGTGGCATCAAGATGGCCATGCCCACCCCGTCGGCCATGTCCGCCGAAAGTCAACCACAGAAGTCAACCACAATCCTGATGCAGCCCTCAATGAAATTGAGTTTGACACCCCTGTTGTAGATGCTCCAACACTGGAAGTTTTTAAGAAGAGATTGGGCAACTATTTGTCTGAAATGGTACAGGGTTTCGTGCCTGAGCAGGGAGTTGGATTAGAAGACCTCTAAGGTCCCTTCCAACTCTGTTAATCTGTTAATCTACTTGCATTAGTGTGTTTTCAAAGTGCTAGTTGGGCAGAAGCTGGGGCAAAATCTCCAGCTGACAAGATCAGCGCCTTTAAACCACTACGCCATCACGCCCCCTATGTAATTATTTAGCATTAAAGTACCGTACTTATTATTAAAGTACTCATTCCCATTATTTTAAATGTATATTGACTGGATAAAGAAAGAGTTAGAAATTAAATGTTGTGCTTTTACTCCCATCAAGCACTGACGGAATATTAAGAATAGAGCAAGTAACGTGTGCTCACAAACACACATGCTCTGTAATGAATGAGGCCCAGGAGTGGGCTGCTGGGGGTTCGCAGGGGTTCAGGAGAACCTCTAGCTAAGATTCTGTGCAGTTTGGAGAACCCCCAAATCCCACTCATGGCTGGCCCCGCCCACCTGCCCCTCCCCTCCCAGGAGTCTCCACGCGGCCCATTTTGAATGCAGGTAAGTGCAGGCCTGTGTGGAGGCTCGAGGAGGGCAGAAAACGGGCCTACTGGAAGTTCGGGAAGTCTGGAAACAGGCCCATTTCTGGCCTTCAGAGGGCTTCTGGAGCCTGGGGAGGCCGTTTTCACCCTCCCGAAGACTCAAGGAAAGCCTCTAGAGCCTGGGGAGGACAAAAATGCCCCCCCCCCAGTGCTGTGGTGCAGGAAGCTGGCTAGGCCACACCCACCATGGCCATGGCCCACCCAGCAACCGGGCAAAGAACCCCTTGCTAAAATTTTTGAGCTCCTATTGATCTACTCAGTGATTGCAACTCCAATAGCTATCACTCAAATACTGCAGGAAGAAGAGAGGCTTTAGGTCAGCGGTAGAGCGCATTCTTTGTAGGATGACGTATGTTTCTATGCCTGGCACTTCAAATATTTCTTTGGATAGACACAGAGGCTAAGATTGCTCTCACAAGAATGCAAACCACGCAAACTTTCTGGACAATGAATTTCCTGCAAGATGTGGATCTCATTTTGAATAAAATATGTCTTAAGATTGAATTTTTTAAAGCAAATCAAATTGATTTCTCATGTGTACACGGACTGAAGAATTTTTCTTTTGGAATAATACAGAACGGAGGAAAAAGGATGAAAATAGAAGGTTGCAGACAGATATATAACACTTTTCCTCAGGAAAATACAGGGAGTCCTGACAGCAGCAAGACTGCTCTATGCACAGAAATGGAAGATTACCTCAAGCCCCACAATGGAAGAAATGGTTAGCAGAGATGGCTAAATTGACTGCTGTGATCAAAGGGAAAAAAAAATACAAATACTTTTATTTCTACTTGGAAAATGCTTCTAGACTGTGCTTGAGGTGGAAAAAAAATGAAACTTTGATTTTGGATTTTACTGATCAGATAGATTTGTTGTTATAGAAATGGCTAGTTTAAACTATTATGTAAAAATAAAAAGTTGAGGTTTGGTGTTAATGCCTTATTCTACTGCACCAAAAGGAGTTGGAAGTCAATGCTTTTTCTTTCTTTTCCCCCTTTTCTTTCCCTCACTTTTCTCTTCCCTCCCCTCCCCAATCTTTTACTTTTGTATTTTCTTTGTATGCTACATTATAAACTAATAAAAAATTGTTAAAACATGGGAAGGAAAATACAGGTAATCCTCAACTTACAATAATTCATTTAGTAACGTTGGAAGTAAAAACGGAACTGGAAAAAAGTGACTTATGACCATTTTTCACACTTATGACCGTTGCTATAGTCACATGATCAAAAGCCAGACGCTTTGCAACGGACTCATATTTATGACGGTTGCAGTGTCCTGGGGTCATGAATCCCCTTTACCGACCATTCTGCCAATGGGGAAGCCAGATTCATTTAACAACTGTGTTACTAACTTAACCACTGCAGTAATTCACTTAACAACCGTGGCAAGAAAGTTTGTTAAATGGGGGAAAGTTCACTTATTAACAACTGTCTCACTTAGCAGCAGAAGTTTTGGCCTCAATTGTTGTCGTAAGTCGAGGCACTGCCTGCAGCATGTTTCGGCATTTAGATTTAAAAGCATTCAAGCTTTCTTACGTTGCCAGCAGTTACATCACTCAAACAGCCTAACTATGGAAATCTCCCTCTTTGTTGTTGCGGGTACTTTATTTTTAGCAATCTCAATCTCTAAAATCTGACTAAAGATCTTCCTTCATTCTTGGGGTCTTGACATTGATTGGTGAACAGTGGTGTCGTGTTTGCAAGTTGTGCTGATTGAACTGTTTCGCCTCACAGGGTTGCCGCGTCAAACGGAAGAGGAGAATTGAGAAAGATGATCCGCACCCATTTCTAATTTTATCCCCTGGTTTTGGTTTGCAGTGCCCCACAATCGCAGCCTGAGAGTGTGGCATTGGCTCCTTCCAGCAGTGCAGAATCCGAAAGCACAAGTGACTCGGACAGTTCCTCCGATTCTGAATCTGAAAGCAGCTCTAGTGACAGCGAAGGAACTGATCCGCCAACAAGAGTCTCGACACCTGAGGTACAGCGTCCATTTTCTAAATGTCTTCTTTGTATAGTCTGGATCGGTATTTCTCAACCGTGGCAACTTTAAGATGTATGGACTTCGGCTCCCAGAATTCCCCATCCAGCCATGCTGGCTGAGGAATTCTGAGAGTTGGAAGTCCACACATCTTAAAAGTTGTCACGGTTGAGAAAGTCGGTGTAGACCAGTGTTTTCTCCACCGTACTATCTTCAAGACATATGGACTTCAACTCCCAGTATTCTCCAGCCGGCCATGCTGGTTGAGGAATTCTGGGAGTTGAAGTCCAGACATCTTAAATTGTCACTGTTGAGAAACTGGGTCTAGCTCAGAGGTGGGTTTCAGCAGGTTCTGACCAGTTCTGGAGAACCAGTAGCAGAAATTTTGAGTAGTTCCGAGAACTGGTAAATACCACCTCTGACTGGCCCCACCCCCATCTATTCTCTGCCTCTCGAGTCCCAGCTGATCGGGACTGATTCAGGGCCTTAGCAGTGGCGGCGGGAGGCTCCGCCCACCCACCCGGACGTCATCAAATACACTCTGCACATGCGCAGGAGTGGCGCGAGCGCAAGCAAACCAATAGCAAAGGTAAGTAAAACCCACCACTGGTCCATACATAAAGCTGCCATGGTTAAGAAACACTGGTCTAGACAGCGATTTCCTTTTTAATGTTTTTCTCCCTCTTTGTACAAGAACAAGTTGGAAAACTATTCTTAACATGTTTTGGATAGTTTTGCTATCCATCTCCCTATTTTCTACATTACCTCCGTTAAGCAAGCAAGGCCAGCATATATTACTGTGGCTTCCACATGGAACCGTCAGGGCTTGCAACTATAGTTACACAGAAAGATAGAGAGTTAATGATTTTTCCTTTTCCTGATCTCCTCCCCCCCAAAAAAATGCTTCAATACAACTCCTGGCTCTTGACCATGCCGATCAGGAATTATAGAGTTTGCAATCCAAGAGAACGCAAGGCCACTCATTTTGTGAAAATGTAGTTAATGGGGAACTGCTAGTTCCTCAAAAAGAGTTAAATATAGGGTCAGGGTATTAATCAGTTATTATGGTGCCTTTTTCATTTCTTGAATGAAATAAGGGAAATGGGAAAAGACTTGTTTGTCACTGGCTGACTGAACAGTCTGCAAATTTTTCCCACAGGTAGATAGAAAAGGTAGATAGTTGTACACAGGATTATTAATTCAGAAATATTGCTAACTGGGGTTAGTCTCATTGCACAAGCACACACACTTATTTATATACATGTAATGCACAGTAGTATATCTGAATATCCTGTAGTTGCATTCCTCTTTGGTAAGCTATAATTTGTAAATTTCTTGAGCCCCTCCCTGAGGGAGATAGATGGTCTAGAATGGGAGTGTCAAACTCGATTTCATTGAGGGCCGCATCAGGATTGTGTTTGATCTGGGGGAGGGGGGGCAAGGCCAGGGTGAGCATGGCCAGCTCGACGTCACTCGTGTTGGGGGCGCCTGTGCGCTCTGCCAGCGAAAATGGGCTCCCGAGCTCCATTTTTGACTGCAACGGCTTCCTGCAACCCTCTTCCAGTGAAAACGGAGCTCCGGAGGCTCTCCCGAGTTCCGTTTTCACTGGCAGAGGAACCATGGGCTGGTCCTTTGCTGCTTTCAGGGCAGCTCCACGGGCCAGATCTAAGAACCTCGCGGGCCACATCCGGCCCCCGGGCCTTGTGTTTGACACCCCTGGTCTAGAAACATGAAGTATAAATAAATAAACATTCACAGTAGATGTTATTCAGCCTGGGGGCATTTTTAAAGAAAACTTGTATAATGATAAGCACTGACAAAATTGCAGTGTGCCTGTTAATTATATCCTCTGTGAGGCCATGTGTCACGTGGTAGCATTCTAAGTCATTCACTGAATATAACTATAATGTTCTCCAGGTTTTTGGGTATCCACAAAAGATCACTTGAACTTGGATCAAAGTTGAATCCATGCTGGATATGTGGGTTACTCAGCACCCCAACTCTGTTTCTAAATTTGAACTCGGGCCTTTTCATCCTCCCTGTTTTGGTAGCTTATGTATACATTTAGCAGACAGCACGACGTTCAAAAATAACCCTTTGAGAAAAGTTTTAAAAGTTAGTTCAGAATTTGCATGGAACATTGAGTCCTGTAAGCAAAGTTCTTTCTCCTCCTGTTATTATTATTCTTTCCCCCCCTTGGACTTGGGTGGGCTCCATATAATTTTACTTGGCTTGGCTTCTTCATTTTTGGAGACTTCTAGTGACCTACTTAGGAAATCAAAATAGGAAAAAGCACCAGCTTCATAATTAAAAGCAGGCCTATGTTGAAACGACTTCAGGAACAAAAAAGAAAAGTTGACTTCATCATCTGTTGCCCTGTTAGAATAGCGACATGTTGAAGGAATTTTGGATCAATTGAAAAAAAACATTGGTAGAGAACACTTTTTTTTCTATGGACACGTAACATAATTTTTGCCAAGGCAGCAATTCTATATCTGAATTACCCTACTTTGGCAGAAAATGAATGATATCATTCTTTACACGTAGAAAACTAGCTTTTTGGGAACAAATACTCTAATGTACAATTCTTTTATTGGGATTTGTCTTATGCTTTGTGTCTTTTTTATATTGTATTTTATTTTTTATGGGTTCTGTTTTTAATTGTAAACTGTCCAAAATCATGTACTAGAGATGGACGACTATAAAAATTAAAGTTATTAATTTAACTATATAAGTGTTTAAAGTCTTGATAACATGCAAAAGGAAAGGAAAGGAAATGGAGATGGGAGGGAGGGAGGGAGGAAAACAAAAATTGAATTCTTAGTTCTGTTTGACAGTGGATGAGACCAGATTCTTTCTCCTATTCTCAAGAGATCTTCATCTATCTGATGGTTTTAGGTATTCTGTTAATGGGAGATGCCAAAAATATGCCTCCCTTCAAAATCTGCAAGCCCAAAGAATCAAACATTTACTTAAATGTACATGTAATCCTCGACTTACAACAGTTCATTTAGTAACCGTTCAAAGTTACAACGACACTGAAAAAAGTGACTTAGGACTGTTTTTCACCTCTGCGACCATTGCCATATCCGCATAGTCACATGATCAAAATTCAGATGCTTGGCAACTGACTCATACTTATGACGGTTGCAGTGTCCCAGGGTCACATGATCCCCCTTTGGTGACCTTCCTACAAGCAAAGTCAATGGAGGAAACCCGATTTACTTAACAAGTATATTATTAACTTTTGCAGTGGTTCTCTTAACAACTTTCACATGAAAGGATGTAAAATGGGGCAAAATTCACTTAACAAATGTTTCACTTGGCAATAAAAATTATGGTCATAAATTGAGGACCACCTGTACTTAGTGAGCTTTTATTTTCAGTTTTAAATCTTTTTAAGTCCAATTACCTTTTGGAAAAAGCACCTTTGAGACAGTGGTGAAATCTAAAATTTGTTACTATCGGTTCTGTGGGCTTGGCTTGGTGGTGGTGGTAATGTGACGGTGGGCGTGGCCAAATTTTTTTTTTTAACTTTTAAAACCATTTTTTCTACAACCTCTTCGGCGAAGAGGTTGTAAAAAATGCTTTCAAAAGGCTCTGACGATCCCAGCTGAGCCGCGCAATCATCAGAGGCTTTTTAAAAAACTTTTAAAAGCATTTTTTCTACAACCTCTTCGGAGGAAAAAATGCTTTTAAAAGTTAAAAAAAAAAAGCCTCTGATGATTGTGCGGTTCAGTGGGGCCGGGGGGTGGGGGTGGGGGCAGGGATTTTTGCTACCGGTTCTCTGAACCACCCGCCTCCATCGCTACCGGATCGGGCGATCCGTTCTGAACCGGGAGCATTTCACCCCTCCTTTGACACATTAGAACAGTCAGCATGTTCTTGCCCAACAGCCACCCCTGTAAATTTGCATTGTGTGTGTGTGTGTTTTCTTCACAACCCGTGTCTGGATCCAGCGCTTTCAAACTCGGTATTTCTTCCATTTGGATTCTCTTGACATGCTAAATTCAGTCCTGTTCTGTTCTGCTTTGGGAGAATTATCCTGCTGATAGACAGGATTGAAAAGAATAAATAACAATTCCTGCCGAATTCTTTTCAAGCCCTTTGCCAACCGTGGCCATAGGAAGTGTCTGCATTTTTTCCTATGTAATGAAACAATAGTGTGTGCGTGCGTGTGGTGTATTTTATGCTTTCCTGAACAGAAAGGCGGATGGGGCTTAGAACCGAGATGCATTGAGGAAGATCTTCTGGAATGTTTTCCTCCGCAGTGAATTTGGCTCATTTTCAAATTCTGTCTTTCTTTTGCCAGTTTCCCCCCTGTTCCTGAATTCCATTCTGTTCAGTGTTTGAAAAGCTGTCCCACTGGCAGACAGATAGCACCCCAACCCGCTTTACATAGTGTGTTTCCTATATCTTGTTGGACAGGAAAAAAGAACGGCGACTATGGGTTTTTTTCCATCCCTTTTTAGCATCTTCCCTACACAGAGGGAACCATTCAAAATTGGATGGCTAGGTAGAAAGATTTAGGCCTCCTTGGAAACCTTAATCAGTCATTACCACATAAGTACAGCCAGAGGTGGGCTTCAAAAATTTTAGCAAGGGGTTCTCTGCCTGATTGCTGGGTGGGCGTGCACCATGGCAGGGAGGGTTGTTTTTGCCCTCCCCAGGCACCGGAGGCTTTCTTTGAGCCTCCGGGAGGGTGAAAACAGCCTCTCCAGGGTGGCCCATTTCCGGCCTTCCCAAACTTCAGGTAGGCCCATTTCAGCCTTCTTCAAAATCAGTGTCTTTTTAAGATAAGGATTTAAGTTCCTGAACCTGACAGTGAGAATTTGGAAAATGCCCAGTGGAGGAAACTGCTTAACTAAACCCCCAGTAAAAACTTGAAGGGTATTTCCACATTTCATATTTTAATATATCCTATTGTTTAGCTTTTCATGATAATAGGTATGTGGTTGCACATAACAGAACAGTCCTGGCAGGGATGTTTTGATGATATTTTTATGAGCCATCCAGAGTCATGTTGGAAGGTGTTTCGTGCCTTAGGAGACAACAAGGGAAGATAAACATTTGAGGAAGCAAAATATCTTTGGATGGCACATTCTGTTTTTTGTAAAGTGCACTTTTTTCTCTGGACACGCAACGTAATTTTTGCCAAGGTAGCAAAAATTATTGTTGTTTGTTTGTTTCCATATTTGTTCACTTGGGAATACAGTCAATATAGTTAGATTAGATTAGATTAGATTAGATTAGATTAGACTAGACTAGACTAGACTAGACTAGACTAGACTAGACTAGACTGATTAGATTAGATTAGATTAGATTAGATTAGATTAGATTAGATTAGATTAACAGAGTTGGAAGGGACCTTGTAGGTCATCTAGTCCAATCCCCATCCAAGCAGGAGACCCTACACCATTTCTGACAAATGGCAGTCCAATCTCTTCTTGAAAGCTTCCAGGGAGTCCCACAACTTCCGAAGGCAACTTCTGATTGTTTTCACTATCAGAACATTTCTCTTTATTTCTAGGTTTGGATAGTCATGGTCTATTGTGATTCATCAATCTCTTAGTTCAAACTAGAGTGCAGAAAATCGTTAATTTAAAGCAGGATTCCGTGCAACTTTTGATGACCTCTTGGGCATGCATTCATATTTTTTTCCCCTTTTTCTTTTCTTTTCCATAGCCTGATCCACAAACCTCCAACAGATGTTGGCAGCTGAACAACTGGCTGATCAAAGTAAACCAGCCAGTATCTCCTACAGAGAGTTTCCTGGAAGATGACCATAGTAGAAGCAGCGTCCAGGAGAGCAAAGGACAAGGAAAAACTGTCAGCGCTAGCAGCGGCAATGGAGGCAAAAGGGAATGTCAGATGACAGATGGTCACTCCAAAACCGGCAGCAGAGTGTCTCGGTCAAATCAAGATGTCCATCTCCCTACCAAACGCAGTTACCAAAAGTCTCCTGTGGTCTCAGAAGACTCTCTCCACCAGACGGTGGGCAGTAAGCAACCCAGGAAATCCAGTAAAGCGACTGTACAGGAGGAACCAAAGAGAGGCCTAACAGTTGAAAGTGAGCCACCTGGACTGTACGGGGCCAAAGACCAGTCTTCCAAAGACAAGCCTAAGGTGAAAACGAAAGGGAGGCCGAAATCTGACGATAAGAAGGAATCAAAACCAACTGCCCCGGAAACCACTGAGAAGAAAAAACACAAAACCCTTAAATTGTTATTTGCTCACGATGAGGCAAAAGTAGATGTGGCGGGAAGTGCCCTGGAACCGTTGCCCCTCAGTCCTCTCGGTGAAAGCCCAAGGGTGATTGCCACCAGTAGAACTAATGGCTCCAAGGTATCTGTTACTGTCAAGGAGGAACTTCAAAGGGACAAATATATTTTGCCTATCAGGGATAAGAAGTTGCTGTCGCCCTTGAGGGATTGCCCCGTCCCGCCAGGACTTGTGGTTAAAATTGAGCTTGCTCTCCTCTCGCGGATCCCTCAGCCACCCGAGAAGGGGCTCTTCCCTAAAAAACACGAACTTAAAGACAGCCATGGTATGGCAAAGCAGGGTATCGACAAAAGAAGCACAGATGCGCCGAGCAAACCTCTCAAAAAGAGAAAGGTAAGACACTTGGGTGGAGGATGGATGGATGGCTCTGGTATTGACAAGATATAAGGTAAAGCTAAAAATCCATGAATTTATACTCTTAGGGATTACAACTCTGGTCTTTTTGCATTGAGTGGATTATTAAAACCAGAGAAAAATAAAATTAAACCAACAACATCAACAGGAAGAAAACTGTAACCAACACGGGGGGCTTTACTGGCTATGAAGCTTTGGACTTATGATAAATACCGTATTTTTCGGAGTATAAGGCGCACTTTTTCCCCCCTAAAAGGGGGTGAAAATTTGAGGGTGTCTTATACACCGAATGTAGCCCCGCCCACCCACTGACCTCCACCCTTTGGCCTCTGCCTCCCAGCAATTTACCTCTTGCAGCAAGCAGCAAGAAGAAACAGCTCATTTCAGCTTCAGCACAGCCTAATTAGCACAAGTTGATTGTCGGTTGGATCGGCCTCCCGACCCTCAGCTGTTTCGGGCTGCAGGGACTGCCATTGCCTATTGCTGCGCTGGCCTCCGCTGCTTGCTGCAAGTTTACATACCCTTTAACTTGTAGGAGGACTCTGATAAAAATCTTTAAATTTCAATTTAAAAAAGCCATTAGAGCAAAATGAAACTTCGGAAACAAATAAGCCAAGTCTTACAATCCCAATCACTGAAAGGTCTTCTAGATCAATTAACTTATTTTAGAATAAGTGCTTCTAAGTGGAAGGTGGAGGAGTTGGAATAATAAGCAGGCAGCAAAAGAGGCAACAACTTTCAAGCTTTCTTGGCTCTGCACCAGGGGTGAAATTCAGCAGATTCTGACAGGTTCTGGAGAACCAGTAACAGAAATTTTGAGTAGTTTGGAGAACCGGCAAATACCACCTCTGGCTGGCCCCAGAGTGGGGTGGGAATGGAGATTTTGCAATATCCTTCCCCCAGGAGTGGGGAGGGAATGGGGATTTTGTAGTATCCTTCCCCTGCCACACCCACCAAGCCACACCACGTCCACCAAGCCACACCCACAGAACCGCTAGTAAAAAAAATTGAATTCCACCACTACTTTGCACACAAGTCTAGTGTGGGTACTAGTGTCTAGGACAGTGATGGCAAACCTTTTAGGCATCGAGTGCCCGACGTGCACGCGCTGCCCAAACTGTAAGGTGTGGGCGCATGTCCATGCGTGCCCCGTGCATGCGCGCACATCCCATGCATGCACCTGCACCCCGCCCAAACTGCAAGGTCGTGGGCACATGCGTGCGGGCCCCTGCATGTGCGGCCGCACCCTGCACAGGCACACCTGCGCCCCATGCATGCACGGCAAAGACCCAAAGACCAGCTGGCCAGTGGGAGGCGTGCAGGCATACACAGCAGAGACCTGAAGCAGAGCTGGGGCAATGGCGCGTGTGCCCACAGAGAGGGCTCTGCATGCCACCTCTGGCACGCATGTCATAGGTTCACCACCACTGGTCTAGGAAGTGAGACTGATAAAGATCTCACAGCAGCTCTTTTAGGATCCAGTTATCTGAATCAATAAAAGGGCATGCAAAAAAAGTGTTTTCTCAAAGCTTCCTTATTTTTTCTAAAAACTAAAACTGGATATTAGGTTTTGGTAATATTGAGAATATTATTAGCATGGAGGCTGTCCAAACAATTTACTTAGGTCATGATATGGCCTTGAACACTTGATTGATACAGTAATTGCTTAATAGTAGACTCCTTAATAGATATTCAGTGCTACCTATATTTTATTTCATGAGCCACGGTGGCGCAGTGGTTAGAGTGCAGTACTGCAGGCTACTTCTGCTGACTGCCGATTGCCTGCAATTTGGCAGTTCGGATCTCACGAGGCTCAAGGTTGACTCAGCCTTCCATCCTTCCGAGGTGGGTAAAATGAGGACCCAGATTGTTGGGGGCAATGTGCCAACTCTGTAAACCGCTTAGAGAGGGTTGTAAAGCGGTATATAAGCCTAAAGTGCTATTGCTATTGTGTATGCTACTCATTACAAATATTTTTGTTTATTTTATTTGAATTTACTTGCTCATCTCTAAGCTAGGTATGCTCAAAAATTATCGCTCACTACAGAAAGTGTTTGCACTCAAGTTAATCTCAGTCTCTTTCTCCTACTGACATTTGATTCCCTGACTTGATTAAACTGATTTGATTCCTGTTAAATTGAGGAACCACAGCTGTTTGCCTCTCTGGCAAGTGCCATTAATGAGTGAGCCAAAGGCCTTTCTACAATATGGTTCCCTCCAGATGTATTTGTAGAGCAGCTTCCAGAATTTGAAGCTAACAAGGTACAGAGATTGGTATCATTTCCAGGAGCTGGGACTTTAGATCTCTTCAGTACTCTTAAGTTAGAAACCATGTAACAGTTCCCATCTACATATAATTGAAACTCCCTAAAAACTTTACTCCTGAAATATATATATAAAGGGATATAAAGAGATTTATTGAAACATTACCCCCCCCCCCCCCATTCTTCTTTGCTCTCTTTGATTTTGGTAATGGTAGGAACTCTTCTTTTTCCTCAGTCCACTTTTAACAATTTGTGAAGGTGTTTTTTTAAAAGCCGGTTTTATGTTAAGAGGCTGGCCTAGAAACCAGGAGACTGTGAGTTCTAGTCCCACTTTAGGCATGAAAACTGGCTCGGTAACTTTGGGCCTGTCACTCTTAGTCCAGTGGTGGGTTGCCCCCGGTTCGCACCGGTTCTATAGAACCGGTAGTAAAACCGGCGGGAGGCCCCGCCCACCGACCGCAACATTATTAAAATGTTGTGGCCCCGCTGCAAACCGGTAGTAAAAGTAAGTAGAACCCACCCCTGTCTTAGTCTAACCTACCTCAAAAGATTGTGAGGAAAATCAGGAGGCAGGGTATTTGGCATAGTTGCTGCCTTGAGTTATTTAATAAAAACCTGGGATAAAAAAAATTCTAATAATAATAAAAGAATAACAATTCTATAATCCTGACTGTTGAATGATAAAGTTTGCTGAGTTAGTAAGCACTCAGTTAGTTAAATCCGTAGTAAGGATTTCAAATCTCATGTGAAAGTTTTCGTTTTACTTCTATGCCTCAATGATCTGTAAACTCTTGTAATTTTAACAACTGCCATATTTTTCAGCAAAAAGCCAATAATGTTGGTAAAATAATCCACAATTCAATCTCACACAGGGAAATATCCATTAGACCTTTTGGACTGTAGTACAGTAGTTTAGTTACAAAGCCTGTGAGAAAAAGCTTGCGGTATAGCAGTCCTATCAGGCAGCCATCCAATCCCCTCTATTTAATTTTATTTATGTATTTTATTATTATTATTTTATACCTTTATTATTTTATAAGTAATTTAAGGCTGTGAAAGTCCTTAATATCCCTCACACTTCCTATTTACCCCACAGTAACAAACCTGTGAGATGGATTGGGTTAAGAGAGAGTGACTGGCCCAAAGTCACCAACATGGCTTTCATGCCTAAGGCAGGACTTGAACTCACAGTCTCCTGGTTTCTACCTTGGTGTCCTAACCACTAGACTAAACTGGCTTCCAAGTTATCTTCCAAGATAACTTCCCTTGCCTTCTAAATCATGAGTCCCCTTTAGACTGTTTCGAATTTGTCTTCCCCCCTAAAATTTTGGTTACTGCAATTCTTGTTATCTCACCCTCTGACAATTGGCAGCAGAATGAATTAGATTTACTCTTAAGGAGTAGGGAGTAGCAAGGATGGGATAACAGCTGAGCTTAGTCTTGCTTGTCACGGTAGAGTTGATTGTTGCTTCTGAAGTGGCTACAGGTGTGCAGCTCTCCATGTTACACAGGTGTGCAGTCAGAAAGGGGCCTCCTCCTGAAGTATTTAAGGGCTGTATTTGTCTTTTTTTTTTATCAGCAGGAAGATGCACTGAGAAATGATCAGAAGAAGGTCAAGCTGGAGAGAGAAACTAAATCTTCCTCATCTTTAGGCCATAAAGATTCCAGTAAAACTAAGTGAGTACAAAGCTGTTATGTAGAAAATTAAGTTAGTAAAATCTAGGCTAGTAAGTAGAACTCTGGTCTCTTCTGCATTGAACTTTGGTGATTTTTTAAAATTTATGTTTTCGCTACTAGTCATCCAACAAGAACCAAAATTATTATGGTTCTCTCTTAAGTGAGAAATCTAACGTCTATACAATTAAAATTGAAACCCTGCCCTAATACCACATTTAAACTTTTAACCTCCAGTTGTTTAAATTAATTGGGCACCAGCAAACAATTACTCTGTTAATACTAAACATTTGTTCAAACTGTTCTTTCCTTTGGATTTCTTCTGAAGCGCGTAGTAAATTTTGGGAGCTGCAGAGAAGCCACTTGTCTTTTTGACTACATAAAATCGATAATCCCTGGGTAAATCTCTTACACGCAATCCAGGCTGGGCCTGTTTGTGTGTGGAAACAAATGTCCCTGATCCTGTTTGTAATGCAAAGTGCAAACATACATTATAATAACATGCATGTGTAATAAATGCGTACATGTATTTATTATTTTCATGCCTGTCCTGTCACAAGCTGCCTGCGCATTGCTCACCAAGGTCAGTGTTTTTCAACCATTTCAAGAGGGTGGACTTTGACTCCCAGCATTTCCCAGCCAGCAGTGGGATTTAGATGTTTAGGACAAGGTTTCCCATCTATTCCCGCTCCCCTCCTCAATGTCAGATGAGCTGATCAACAGCAGTTGAGCCACCGTGGTACAGTGATTAGAGTGCAATACTGCAGGCTACTTCTGCCTGCCTGCTGCCTGTAATTTGGTAGTTTGAATCTCACCAGGCTCAAGGTTGACTCAGCCTTCCATCCTTCCCAAGTGGGTAAAATGAGGACCAGACTGTTGGGGGCAATATGCTGACCGCTTAGAGAGGGCTGTAAAGCACCGTAAAGTGGTATATAAGTCTAAATGCTATTGCTATTTGGAACAGCTTTTGGTGATAAATAACCCTTTCAAATGACAAGCTACACTTAAAAGTGTGAGTTTGGCTAGCTTTTTGTCCTACCTATGTCCTGCAACATGAGGAATGTCTGAAGACAAGTTTGCTGCTGAAGTGTGCAAAACAAAATAGAATCCATGTTAAATGTGATAGCTGTACTAGAGAGTCAGTCTTCTGCATTAAGGCTGGGGAGATCTTTGGAGTAGAGACACTTGCATTCAAATCATCTCAAAGTGCCTCAGCTCAATTTTAGCTCCCTAGGAGGTAAGGCAAAGTTTGCTGTATGTAGAGGGTTCTTATATTGTCTTGTGTTTTTTTTAAATAGAGGTAAAATATAAATATCTAAAACATAGTCTGGGTTTCATTGCAAATGCTCTGGTGTCCATTGAAAATATAATTTAGAGTGAATACTTTGTGGAAGATTTTTTGAATCAATGCACTTGCACACAATATTTTATTGTATGACAGTATTCTAATATCTGTGCGTACCTATGTGTGTTAATTGCATGTATTTTCTCTTGTGAAGACCAGCAATACTCTTTTAAAAAAATGTGAATGCAGTTAAATAGCAATTTCTGATGAGTGTAGAAAAGTTGATAATAAAGTGTTTTGAAAAGAATTGGTGTCATTTAATTGAAACTGAAAATTACCAGCGGTTCATCCCAAATGTAAACCAGTACATTTATTGCACACCTATTTTATGTTTTTATGCAAAAGTGATTATCTGAATTTCAAAGTAAAACATTCTAAATAGTTGGAAAGTTCTTTGAATTCAGTAGCTGGAACCCATCTTTGCCACACCTAAATTCAAACTTTTAAAGAAATCTATAGTTCTGTCAATATACTTAGCTTCAGTTCAGATCCAAAATGTGTCTTATGAATATTATCAGCACGTTAATGAATCTGCCAAAAGTACCTGACTTTTTCCTTCCTTTGTTGCTCAAGGTGAAAGTGTTGATCTGCATGTTTCAATATCTTTCATCCAGTGAACTCGGGTGCTTAATTTTTCTTCGATGCTACAGTTTTAAAGTAATATTCCTTCGAACTCGCCCTGACCTGGTATTCCTTCCCTAGGATGTCGAAGCTCTCGGCAACAGAGACGCAAAGGAGAGAGATGCCACTGCCGATGCCACCACCACTGTCTCCCATGCAGCCTGCTCAGAAGCCGCCTAAGACAGCTCAAAAGAGGCCAAAGACTGAAAACGATGCCTGCTATCAAGTTCCCGGTCCCACTGTCAGCACTGCCAAGAGCAAAGAGAGCCACAAAGAATCTTCATCCTCCAAGCACAGGAAACTGGAGGGGAAACCTTTGGAAAACTCCAAAAGTGACAAAGTAGGTGTAAACCATTTCTCTTGAGGGACTCATAATTTTGGGACTTGGGTTGTTCAGAAGAGCACTCAAATGTGCATATTTTTTTCTCCCTTCTTTCAAAAGGCAACTGGCCTTTTGTTTTACCTCGAAGGCATTTCACTTCTTATTCAAGAAGCTTCTTCAGTTCCGACCGTCAGAACCGGAAGAAGCTTCTTGGATGAGAAGCGAAACGTCTTCAAGGAAAAACAAAGTCCAGTTGCCTTTTGAAAGAAAGAGGGGAAAAAAGCACCTTTGGGACAACCATGACCTGGATGACGGAGAATCCCCATTCAGAGCAAGTTGTAAAATCGGCAGATTTCACCATACAGCTAGTCCTCAACTTACAATAGTTTGTTTAGTGGCCTTTCAAAGTTACAACAGCATTGAAAACCATGCAAGAATGGTTTTTCATTCTTACAATTAACAATTGCAAGCTAACCCACGGTCACCTGGACAAAATTCAGACGCTTGGCAACTGGCTCATATTTCTGACAATTGTAGTGTCCCTGCAAAGTCAATGGGGAAACCAGATTCATTTAACAGCCCTGTGATTAACTTAACAGCTGCAGCGATTCACTTAAGAACTGTGGCAATAAAAGTTGTAAAATGGGGCAAAACTCACTTGTCTCGCTTAGCAAACTCACTTGTCTCGCTTAGCAATAGAAATTTGGGGCTTAATTATGGTCATAAGTTGAGGACCACCTGTATAGTGAAGGGGATTCCTTTCCCCTAAGGAGCCTTGAATATCACAGCTACTTGGATCAAAATATATCTTATACAAGAGCTGCTGCAGGTATATTCTCCATAATGGATATCCCAGCTAGAAATTTAGATGGGAAAACGGGGGAATGTTTGATCTATTTAAATAGAGAAGTAGAGATATTGTAACATATCTGCTTAATGCATTGTTTAGAATTCATCAACTCAAGATATATTAACGGCCAGCAGGCTAGATGGCTTTTATTAATGATGATGAGGATTAGGATTTGGGGGTTCTCCGAACTGCACAGAATCTTAGCTAGAGGTTCTCCCGAACCCTTGCAAACCCCCAGCAGCTCACTCCTGCCTATACTATTCCTGGTTGTCCAGTGCAGGGATATTGTCCAACAATGCTGGCTGAAGAATTCTGGGAGTTGAAGTCCACAAGTCATAAAGTTGCCAAGGTTGAAGACCAGTGGTGGTTTGGCCTGGTTCGGCCGAGCCGGTAGCGGTGACAATATGATTCTCTTTGTTCGGGAGCTGGGCCCTCCTGCCCGCCCCGGCATTATTTTTACCTTTTATTTGGCCCCGCCCCCAATCTATTCGCTGCCTCCTGAGTCCCAGCTGATCAGCTAGAAGGAAAAAAACTATTTAAATTCTTGCCCCGGGACTTCAAAGGGCCGCCTTACAGCTGATCAGTGTTAAAAGGCAGTGTGGTGGTAGACCAGGGCGGTCGAAAAACAAATGGGTAGACCGGAATGCTCCAAGAACAAATGGGTAGACAGGTACAGCTCTGCAAGTAGTTAAAAGCCTGGTAGACCAGTACCTCTGCTAAATCCTAAAGAATTGTCACATGACCATCAAACCATGCCCACAAAATAAGCCACGCCCACAGAACCGGTAGTAAAAATTTTTAGAACCCACCCCTATTGGAGACCCCTGATCCAGTGTATTATTGAAAACCTCCAGTGCTGAAGCACCCACAACTCCACAAGGCAAGTTGTTCCATTGATTAATTGTTCTCACTGTCAGGAAATTTCTCCTTAGTTCTGAGTTAGATTTTTCTTTAATGATCTTCCACCCATTACTTCTTGTCCTGCCTTCAGGTGCTTTGAGAATAGGTCAACTCCTTATTTTCTGTGACAGCCCCTTGAGTACTGGAAGAGTGCTATCATACCACATGATCTGTCCCCGTCTACACACACACACACACAAACACAGCCAGCCGAGGGTTAAGAAAGTACTTGGCGTGCACACAGGTCGTTATCTCAAACTTGGCAACAATATAAGCACTGTCTGCCAAAAGCTTTACTGCAACAGATAACATAAAATTACATACACATTGTAAATAGTCCAGCAAAACAATATCCCTTCGGCAGCTTCAGGCGTTGTTCAAGTGACTAGCCAAAGTTAATTTTTGTTCATCACAGAGTTTTACCAGCCACCACCCTCTCTTATATAGTCTCTGGGGTGTGGTCCAGTGACTCAGTTCTAATCCCTAGCACGCCTCCTTAACTGCTGCAACCGTTTATCACGCCTTCGTTGGCGTGCATCCAGGAACGACGGCTCTCCTTCCTCGCTCTCATCCAAGACACCTGGCTCCTGGCTAATCTCCTCTCCCTCAGCCGGCACCTGAGACAGTGCCAGAGGGGAGGGGCCTGGAGAGGGAGGCCTGGCTGACTCCTCTCCCTCATATTCGGAGCCTTCTTCCTCCGATGAGATAGGCTCAGAGGGCGGGGCCACAACAACCACACATTACACGCATCATATATTACAGTTAGTAATGCTGGGAGAAATAAATGCGCATGCTCATTGAAGAATGCAAATGTTCTGTTGTGAACTATTTCTGAATTACAAGTATTCCATATTCTTCCTCTCCATCTTTCCAGGGCTCTGCAGATGATGTCCCAAACCCCTTCCCAGTGCCTTCTTTGCCAAACGGTACCTCCAAGCCAATGAAGCCTCAAAGCAAGCCTCACCGGTAAGAATATTTTCTTTTTCTTTCCGGCTATGATATCTTTTGCCGTCTTTTGCCACCAATAGCCTCCCACCGACCAGTTCGTTCTCACAGGGAGGGACTACTCAGGGTACCGTCAGCCAAATTATGTCGACTGGCGACTCCCAGGGGAAGGACCTTCTCTGTGGGGGCTCCAACCCTTTGGAATGAACTGCCCCCGGAGATATGGAATATCCCTGATCTCCGTGCTTTCCGCCATGCCCTCAAGACCCTGATGTTCCAACAGGCGGGGCTAAACATACAAACATGCGAATGATTTTTCAAATGTTATCTAATTCTGGGTTTTATTTAATTGACCAAACTAAGTGGCAATTTTAATTAGCAATTTTGTGGTGTTTGTGTGTCTATGTTTTTCTTGACTGTACACCGCCTTGAGTCCTACGGGAGAAAGGCGGTATAGAAATATAATAAATAAATAAATAATAAATAAATCTTGTCTTTTGAGATCTCAATTTCTGTTGTAACCTATTGGTTTTCACCTGGGTTTTTTATTTTCCTGCTGGGTTGATTTCATAAACTCACTGAGAAAGAACAACTTACTAAATATTTAGAGATCTTTTTGACTGTTCATTCAAAACTGCCGAATAAAATGCGTATGTGGTACATTATGGCTATTCTGAAACGCCCTTTTCTCTCTGGTTTATTTCAGACAACATCCAGCAGAATTTCACTTAAGGGAAGCCAAAAGATTGAAGCACAAAGCTGATGGAATGGTAGGTTTTCCTGCAGAAAAGTTGCAAGTGTGAATAGGCTCTGCTCCAAATAGTACAGTTAACTTGAGGGATTGCTAGATAAAGCAAACCCACATCGAGAAATAACCCTGGATCAGCTTCAAAGAGCTCTTCTGTCATGATTTGAAAATTGAGATTAAATCTCTCTGGCCATATGTCTTTTCTGTGATCGAGAACAAGTTGAAAGCTTTGCAAAGTAGTTCAAATTGGAAATGTTTCTACCTCACCCACTCCAAGGTCAAAACTGTGGCGGTTTCCACAACTTGGAAGCTGTCTTCTGACATTGGAAGAGTCTGTTGAAAGACAGAGGAGGCAGGCTGCCACGGGGTTGACACGTGTTCACATATAGAAGATAAATCACTTCCTTTGTTGCTTAAAAGTTTTTGGATGAGGAGAAACCTTAGTCCTATTGCATAGCGCCATGTAGCTAAGTTAAATCTGGAAGGTGTTTTTTCAAAAGGCAACTGGACTTCCTTGTTTGTTGGTTTTTTTCTTTGAAAAACTTTTTTCAGTTCACTTCAAAACTTCTTGGATGAGAAACGAAAATTTTTTCAAAGAAACAAAAAACAAAAGTCCCTTTGCTTTTTGAAAAAGCACTTTTGGGACAACGCTGACCTGGATGATTGAGAATCTCCGTAAACATTCTCCAAGTTAAGGAGAGGAAATACACTTCCTCCAGTGTGGTGGTTTGAGTTCACTGAGACACAAAGGACAACATCATAGTATCCACATGGACTGGTAAACAAATGAATGCTTCCCAATAAACGGGAAAGGTTCTTGTTAAACGGTCAGTTTGCTTTATAAATCCACTTTGGGGATTTCATTTCACCCAGAAAAGTTGATAAGAATTATATAAGTGAATTAAAAACATGCTACAATTCCCTAAAATAATGCATTTCATTCTTAGCGAGTCTTCTGTTTCATTTCATCATTCCATTCTTCTAATATGAGAGAAATTTATCTTTAAATTTGAGATTGAAGTTCAGCTCGAAGAGGCTAGATTCATAATACTGTTTTTCCTAGCTTTTTTTTTTTTACTTAATACATTGTATGAGACCAATCCCTTTAAGTAATTTAATTTTAAAGCCACCAAGGCCCACTATAACATTTGAATTGGGTGAAATCTACTTACCTTACCTCCCGGTTCGGAAGTGCACGCATTCATCATGTGTGCACTTGGACCCTCTGCACTTGCGCAAACCCTTCTGCGCATGCACAGAGGGTAAAAAACTGGTTACTTCGACCGGGCGGGTGGACGGAGCCTCGTGCTGCCGTCACTACCGGTTCTCCAAACCACCCGCCGTCATCGCTACCGTTTCGGTCGAACCGGTCCGAACCGGTAGCATTTCATCTCTGATTTGAATTGAATCCCATTTGTCTGGTGCTCTTCCAATGCCTTCGAGTGCAACTCTGAAATGGAACATTGACTATCGTGCCTGTGTACAAAACTGTGCAAGAATGTCAGGAAAAGAAAGTGCCTCACCTGGCTGGCTTGTTGGTTAATCCGTGCTAACTTTGTTTCCAATAGACAGACAAAATTGGAAAGGCCTTCAAATACTTGGATGCTGCCCTGTCCTTTATTGAGTGTGGCATTGCAATGGAATCCGACCCCCTCTCACCACAGTCAGCCTATACCATGTTTGCAGAAACCATAGAACTCATTAAGTAAGTAGACAACTGTGTCTGTTCTACCTGCTGGCTTCGGGTTCTTCCTCTGATATTCAGAAGTTTCCACACTGTTCCTCCCTGTAGGTTTTTTTGTTGTTGTTGTTGTTCTCTGCCTATCCTGTGAATCCCGTTACAAAGCCTTCCCTGTTTTAACTCCTATCTAGATCCAAAAGCATTGCCCTTCTAGATATTGTTTTGTCTTCCTCTTATTTTCAGGGCCTTTCAGTCTAGTGTTGTATCTTATGATTTATGATGAATGTATTTTTATGATGACTATGATGATGATTTATCACTTGTTGCTTGCATGTACACCGAGAGCTTATGCACCGGAGACAAATTCCTTGTGTTTCCAATCACACTTGGCCAATAAAGAATTCAAATTCTATTCCATTCTGTTCCATTCTGTTCCATTCCATTCCATTCCATTCCATTATCCGTATCTGTACCTCTACCCTTTCCTTTCCTTTCCATTCCCCTTTCCCTTTCCCTTTCTCCTTCCCAATTCCATTCCATTCCATTCCATTCCATTCCATTCCATTCCATTCCATCGGAGCTAAGGAAAGTAGTATATAGCAAGTGCTCTGAGCCCACTTCAGATGAGATTCAGATATAGCACTTCTAGTTCAGGAGGGCTACAAAAGGCAGCAGACAAATCTACTGAGGTCAAGAACCTCTTAGTGAAGGCTGGAATAAACTCATGTATTTACAAATAGTTGGAAGCCAATATAACCACTTACAGTTAGGCTTTTAAGAGAGCCTAAATATTCTCACATAATGCAAATTAGCTAATGTATAAAAAGAAGTGAGAAACCTAACAGTTTCTTCCTCTCCCCCCCCCCTCTCTTATTTTAATTCTTGTTAAATTCCCCCTTTTATCTTTCCTTTCGTTAACATGTATAAAACACACACACGTTAGTGTAACTTTGCTATATTCCTTTTGCTTTGCTTTGTTTAAATAATGAGGACAATTATCAGCAGTTATTGCTAAGTTGTTAGACAAAACCTCCATAAAAAAAAAGTTAAATATCCGTTTCTTCCTTTATTTTTTGGCCTCCAAAGTAGCCGCATTTTGATTTATTTTATTTATTTTTTTTACATTTTTTGAAGAATCTGATAGCACAGTGAATCCTCAGATCCAATTATATTACTCCACACTTCTGCTTAATCCTGAAAAAGAGCAAGATAAAGTAATTTCCATTAATTTGGACTGGAGGATGCATGTTTACATTTTCCTATCAGTCCCAACCGCAACAGCTGCTTTGAGGTTCTGTTATCAAAATAATGGCTTCATTCCAGCATCTGCATTGTAGACTCTTGAGCACTAAGAATCCTCCTACGTATAATTATTTTCTCATTTTGTTCAGCGTCAAAAGCTTCCACTTAGACATCTGGTTCATGGAAGTCACCTTCTCTGATTCAACTGATATATTTTTTTAAATTAAATTTATCAAAGTATAAAATAGGAATGTAAATGAAAATAGTGGAAAGAAAGGGAAAGAAAAAGGCATAAAGAGGTAAAAAAGAAAGAAAAACATTGACTCTTTTTAGCGCAGTAGTAAACTTAATAACAAAGCAGCCTCAACTTTTTATTTTTTACATGCTTAACATGTACTAGCAATTACTATAACAGCAAGTTCATCTAATAGGCAAAACTAAAAGTCAATGTTTTATTTTTTTTTTCTCAAGCACAAAATCTGGAAATGGTTTCCAACTAGAAACGAAGATAGTTTCTTTTCTTTGAGTAAATCAATTAATGTAGCTACCTCTGCTAGTTCCATCTGTTTTTCCAGCCATTCATCCATTGTGGGAATTCCATTTTTTGCATAGAGCAGTGTCTCTCACCCTGGGCCATTTTAAGATGGGTGGACTTCAACTCCCAGAATTCACCATGCTGGCTGAAACAGATTTCTTCTTGGCTACTTCCCCCACCAGAGAGCAGGACATATTTGCTACCTTGAACACTTACTCTTTTTTTTTGGTGCATGGAGACACCTAAATTCATCTCCTGACCAACAGACAATAGCTGTTACATATTTTAGGGTTCAACCTTCAGGGTGACTGATGAGACTCATAAATGAGAAATTCTCAGCAGTTCAACTAACTTGTTCTGCCTTTTTATTTTACATCTATCTGCTTATTTATTTCTCCATTAACTTCTGTATGTTTGAGTTTGGCCAGAACTAGGGAAGGGAGGAGAGGATATTAGAAATGAAATAAAAATAGGTAATGAAATTTAGGAGGGAGATCCTGGAAAAATTTTGCTGTTGGTATCTTTGGGGATTTTTTCTCCTTTATCTGCCCACTTGTGTAAAACTATAGTAACTTTCTGTTTCACTACTAGTTCAGAGCATCCCAATATTATGGTTTTATATGCTGATGGAACTAAAATAAAGTGTGATTTGTCTTCCCATAGATTCATAATGACATTAAAATCCTTTGCGGACTCTTCAACAACCACACAAGAAAAAATCTTCATTGTGTTTTGGTGAGTGGCTCTGCGTTCTGTTTCCAAGCATTCCACTTTTTTAAAAAAAATATATATTAAAAATGCCTAGCTTTCTACTTTGCTTCGATGCAATATGTGAAGATTCTTCAACAATGGGGAACAAGGTTCTAAAGCAGGGGTGTAAAACTCAAGGCCCATGAGCCGGAACCAGCCCGCGGGGTGCTTAGATCTGGCCTGTGGGGCCACCCTGGAAACAATGAAGGACCAGCCTGTGGTGCCTCTGCCAGCGAAAACGGAGCTCGGGGAGGCCTCGCGCAGCCCGTCCTGGCTCTGTTTTCACTGGCAGAGGGCTGCAAGAGGCTGTCGTGGCTGAAAACGGAGCCTCAACAAGTGATGTTGAGCTGGCCACGCCCCAAGCCATTCTCCTGACCACCCCCCCAACCCTTCCCAGAGGTCAACCGCAACCCTGATGGAGCCCTCAATCAAATCAAGTTTGACAACCCCTTGCAGAGTTGCATGTGTTCCATGTTCATTGTGTTTTTACAGCATGCGCTGCCAAGCCATTCTGTACATGGCAATGTTTCGCTACAAGAAGGACACAGCAATAAAGTATTCGCGGACTCTTAATGAACATTTCAAGGTAGAGAATGAAACGTTTCAATTGAAAGTGGAAGGGAGGGTGTTTCCAATAATATTACCGTGTTTCCCTGAAAATAAGACCCTGTCTTATATTTTTTTGAACCCCGAAATAAGCGCTTAGCCTTATTTTCGGGGAGGTCTTATTATTTTGGAGCGCGTAGAGCAAGATGGGGCTCCTCTTGCAGTTTTACCTGATTTCCAGCTCTGCGTTTAAATATTTTTGGGGAGGGCTTATTTTCGGGGGGAGGCTTATTTTAGCGCATGCGCTCAAAAGCCTGACTGGGCTTATTATCAGGGGAAGGCTTATTTTCAGGGAAACAGGATATGTCAGTGGGTAGATGGTTTTCCCAAGTGAACGATTAATATCTGAACAGTGTAACATGGAACTAACAAGCATTTTTAAAGTTTTATATATATATATTTTATTTATACATTTTTCTTTAGTAAACATAAAAATCCAATATCTATATCAACAGTGAGTTGTCTGGGTACAGTTAATGTTGAGAAATAATAATAGTAATAATATCACTATTCATAGCACTGATAATCACATAATAATAATAATATTTGCTTATCCATAATAAACCTTCATTGTATAATTAATCATTCTCTTAAAGTTTTAGATTTCTAACTTCTGTCTCTGTTACTAAACATTGATAGAACGAATCCCATGATAAAAAAAATAGTCTGTTTCTTGCTTCTCCTTAATTTTAAATGTTAATCTATCCATTTCTGCACATTCTAATATTTTTTTTATTACACTTTCATTTGTAGGGATCTCTTCGTTTTTCCACCAGTATTTTTAAAGTTTTGTAGTACAGATAGTCCTCAACTTACAACAGTTCACTTACTGACGGTGAACTTTGACAAAAGTGACTTAGGACCATTTCCCACGCTTACGATGTTGCAGCATCCCCATGTGATTCACATTTGGATGCTTGACCAATGACTCATATTTATGACGGCTGCATTGTCCTGGGCTCATGTAATCCCCCTTGGCAACCTTCTGACAAGCCAAGTCAATGGGGAAGCCAGATTCACTTAACAACCATGTTACTAATTTAATAACTGCAGTGATTCACATAACAAATGCGGCAAGAAATGTCATAAAATAGGGCAAAACTCACTTAACAAATTTCTCACTTAGCAATATAAATTTTGGCCTCAGTTGTGGTCGTAAATTGAGGACTACCTGTATTTGATTTATATAGTTTTATTTTTTATTTTAATATTTAATAGAGTTACTCTGTGGTAGGATGGGAGGCCAATAAATTTGATTGATTGTTTGGTTAAATAAATAAATAAATAAACGTTCATGAAAAATAAGTGTTTCCCTTTTGTAAATAAAAACATGAGTTGAAATTACTTGTAATCTAAATAGAATTTCCTTGCTTATTACAGAGTTCTTCTAGAATTGCCCAAGCACCTTCTCCATGCATTGCAAGGTAATATCGCAAACTTATCCTTGTTGCAAATATTAATTTTCTTTTCTGGTAGATTGTAAGGTTACTGTATATGTAGACCAAAAGTATGAATTGGTTGGAAACCAGTTTGATGATCTCTCAAAATATAAATCGTTGCTAGTTAATGTCTCAGGCTCATCGCTTATTACTTTTTATTTGATGGCCTCTTGCTATGGAATAAGGACTGTTTGCTTCTGAGGAGACATGTAGAGGATTGCCTAGCATTCTGCCCAAAGGAAACTATGTCTCACAAGGTAGATTTGGAGTGAGGAGATGTGAGTTCAAATCCTTCTTCAGTTATAAAACCATAGGATCCATAGTTTAGACTAGAGCAAGGCCTGCCTTCCTTCCTTCCTTCCTTCCTTCCTTCCTTCCTTCCTTCCTTCCTTCCTTCCTAAGCTGGTTTATGATATATGTTTTTATCTTTTCTGTCCTGGGTAGAATAGAATGCATTAACATTTCTCCAAAAGCAGAATATGCCACACTTTATAATGTCAAGGCCCTCATCATAAATTTAGAAATCAATAGAATTCATGCTGACTTAAGGGGTACATGGAAGTTGAAGTCTAAACAAAAGGAAAAGGCACCAGGTTGGGAAAAATTGATCAAATCAATAGGCTAAAATACACTTGTTCAAAGTTTAGCATAAAGATGCGACTTGAACTTAAAACCAGAATTAGCACCAGAATTTCGGTTGGTGACCAATGCATGCTGGGCATTGGGGATCAACCAAAGAAGGAAGGGAAGTAGAGCAGGAGATTTGGGAGAATACAAAGTATTGATAAATAAGTGAATCATGCCTGGTCTTATAACCTCTTATGCAATGGTGAATCACTGCAGTTGTTAAATGAATCATGCAGTCTTTAAGTGAATTCAGGTTCCCCCAGTGGGGGTTGCTGCTGGTTCAGACCGGTTCAGGCGAACCAGTAGTTGCGACCCCCCCACCCCCCCCATGCCATCCTATTTAGCCGCATTTTTTAAGCCGCATGCATGCATGCAAGCCGTGTGAGAACAAAGCGCGTGCTCAACATTTTTGGTACTGGGCGAACCAGTTGTTAATTCATGTGCCGCCTACCCCTGGGTTCCCCCATTGACTTTGCAAACAACCCCAGGACACTGCAGTCGTCATAAATACATGCCTATTGCCAAGCACCCAAATTTTGATCGTGTGGCCGTGAGGACACTGTGACAGTCATAAATGTGAGGACTTTTTCAGTGCCTATTACAACTTCGAATGGTTGCTGAAGGACAATTCAAGGACTATCTGTATTCCCCTAAAATCTCCTGCTCCGTTTTCCATCCCTCCTTGAGTTGATCACCAGTGGTCTGCGTGCATTGGGCATCAGGCACGCTCGGTCCTTCTTTAGCCATTTGTTGGGACGAAAGGTTAGAAATCCTTCTTAGCTATTTCTGCCCCCTAAATTTGTTCATGCCTCCTCCTTAGACTTCATCTCTTTTTAATGTCTGGTTCTACTTTGTGTGTTTATTGAATATAATGCCGGGCCTTCTTGTGTTTCATCCTTCAGGAGCATTGGCACCCCTTCTCCGCTCTCCCCGATGCCTTCTCCGGCTAGCTCAGTCAGCTCCCAGACGGTTTCCAGCACCACCAGCTGTGGAAGTAGCAGTCTTGGCTCCTCAGTCAGCGTCCCTCATTATATCCCGACCATCACCTCCTCCTTCGTTAACATCACTTCTTATATTCTGTACGCCTATGACTTCTGGGAACAAGCTGATCTTTTGGCTAGGAAAAATAAGAGTAAGGGTTTGTTTCTTTGTTTGTTTCCTACTGACTTCCAAATTCAGTTTCCTAAAGTTTCCCATTCCCCTTGAGGACCATTTTGTACATGGTTCAGCAAGTTTGTTCTGGAGAATCTGAAGGTTAGCAGCACCTCTAAAGAATTCTTGGTTTTTCTTGCTGACAAGAGACTCTGCTTGCACACCCTCAGGATCTACTCCTAGCCAGGATAAAACAAGTATGACGTTGATTGGTTCCTGTAAATCAGATGTTTATCAGCTCAGTACAAATTACCAATCAACATCAACATCATCTTTTAAAGACCCCATAATCCCTTGTGGGGTGGAGTCTGGGCAATTGAATGGAGCTAGCAGAGTGTTTTACTGGCCGGATGCCCTTCCTGTTGCCAGTGCGGAGTTTTGTCCAGCAGATATATTCTCAGTGTGCCCAGAGAGAAAGACATATCTGCCTCTACCTGATTGTGAGGCAAGAGCTCCACCTCTAGGCCATCGCACCACTCCTCAGTACAAATTACCAATAAAGGAGAATGTAGCTCAGGGTTGAAATGAAGAATCCGTGGCAATCTCCATGTTTGGTTGTCGTCTTGCGGACTTTCCAAACTGGCTAATATAATCAGTGCTCAGTACAAATTCTTCATTTGAAGTACGCCAGCAAGACCCAGGCCCAAAAAAACAATGCTTGGACCAGATTATTGCTACCATTGTTGCTATATTGATAGTGCGTAGCCTGAAATACACGGATAACCCTAATTCTCGGAAAGGAGAATTATTGCATGGCTAATAAAGTGGTTGCTTATTGGATTAGTATCTTCAAGTAACCCCTATTGGTAGCCAAGGCCAAAGTTTTGAAGAAAATAAGACTTAGAAAATGACTTAAAGGGGAAAAAACGTGAACTTAACTGACTAGTTAAAACTAAAGGACTTTTCATGATTAATCATTATACTGAAGTTTTCCATGTGGGTAGAATGAAAGATAGAGTACACATATGTCTGGGGAATTCTGGGAGTTGAAATCCACGTATCTTAAAAGTTGCCAAGGTTCAAACATGGAACTTATTTTACCAGTGGTTGGGAAAAAAAGGGGAGGAGATTAAGAATAGAATCTGTATTGTGAAGCTAATTAAATACCCAGATAACACGATGTTTATTAAACACTAGGAAATGTAATTATCATATTTTTTGGAGTATAAGACGCACCTTTTCCCCCCACCAAAGAGGGTGAAAATCTGGGTGCGTCTTATACTCTGAATGTAGCTCCGCCCAGCTTCTCAAACGGAGGTTTCAGAGGCTGAAAAAAGCATCAGAAATGAAGCTTCAGGAAAAAGAGCCCCCAAACAGAGCTTCAGAGGCTTTTTTTCTGAAGCTCTGTTTTGGAGGCTTTCAGAGGCAGGAATTTTTTTTTTTCTGAAACAGAGTTTCAGAGGCAAAAAAAAAAAAGCAAAAAAAAAAAAAAAAAAAAAGCAAGGCACAGAGCTCACAACCAAGGAACCTGTTGCTAAAATTCACCTCTGGGAACAGCTGATTGGGGTATTCCCGGAGGCCGATCCCACCCGCCAATTAGCTTTTTTCTTATTTCCCCCCCAAAAAACTAAGGTGTGTCTTATCCTCTGAAAAATATGGTAATAGAAAATTAAGAAAATTTATATATATATATAAAAAAAAGTTGCCAAGATTGAGAAAATCTGTTCTACAAGTTTTAAGAACCAAAGGCTTTTCTGGCTTAGCATGTTTAATTAAAGAATCGGACATGATGCTTTTCTTTTCTTTTCTTTTTCCCCCTTCCCTCTTTCAGAATTTTTTTCCAAGCTCAGCGCTGCCGCCTGCTTTCTCTCGCTGAACAGCAGTATGATCGAACTCGTACACTACACCCGTCACGGATTGCAATGGCTGAGACTGGAATCAAACATGCCTTAATGGGTGACTCAAGGTGAAGATTTTGCCTTGGAACTCTTTTGCACTTTGAAAGCCTCCGAAGTAAAGTCTTTCTGAGCTGACTGGTTGGGATTTGAAAGAAAGAAAGAAAGAAAAGAAAGAAAGAAAGAAAGAAAGAAAGAAAGAAAGAAAGAAAGAAAAAGAAAGAAAGAAAGAAAGAAAAAGCAAGCACCTGGAACAAGTTTGAAATTAAGCATGATTGAAGGGATCTGGCGCCACTGGAAAACTTTTATTAGAGACTGCATTTCTATTATGCCAATGGGCCACTTAGGAAGATAAAAAGAGTGAAGAAGAGGCCTCAAAGTGGAAGAAGATGCCTTTCTTTCAAAGGACAAAGTGCAATTGTTTCCTTTCTCTACCCTTGCCCCTCCCCCCTGCCCTTCCCCTCCCCCCCCCCCCCATTCTCATCATGGTTTCTTTGTGTCAATGGTCTATAAACATTTCTCTTAATGAATAACCAGCAAAATAATCAGTCAGCACACGTGAAGGAGCACCGGTGAAATCCATTTCCCAAAGGTTTTTCTACAACATCTAAGGATGCACCGATATCCCAGGGGGGGGCGGGGGGTCCAGTGCATAATTCTGAAGCCGTCTTCCTGCCTGTCCCGTTTCTCCATGTGCTACTAGCGGCCAATTGTTGCACTATTTCTTCTGTCCTCCTGACCTGTAAGCAGGCCTATCCCGTTTTTTCTTTTCCTCGTTTGCTTTCTCCTTTCCTTTGTTTGTTTGTTTTGGCTATTTGTAGCAGCAGTTGTAGCAGTTTTCAGCTGTCGTGGGTAGTAGTTTCCCCGATTCTGCATTTGGCCCGTTGGACGATCTCATCAAAAGCGGCAGCTCACGAGGCGGCCTACAGTGTCAGAAGCATATTTTGAGCAGAAAACTGGGTAGGTGTGATGTCGATTCCCACGCCCTCCTCTCTAAATTAGGGATATGGTTCCGGTTCATCCCCGGAGCAGCTGTGGATAAACTACACTACTAAGAGGAATGGATTGCCACCGCTGCTGTTAAAGTTGCTACTCCGTTAGTAGCTCCACAGAGAGAGAGTACCAGGCCAAAAAGGGGGAGAATCCCCTAGCACCAAATAAAAGGAGTGGCATTTGAAGAGGCCTCTTCTACTTCTATAAAATTTGTTGGGAGATATTTAAAGATCTTTGGGAGGGAGGAATTTTGAAGTGTGCCATTTCAGTTCACCTTCCCTAACTTAACATGGCAGATTCAGATATAGTGCCTTAGTTGGTGCACAATTTTTCATTCATGCTGGCCAGGATACAGCCTGGCTCAATTTTTCATGATCCTTTTCATTTGAGAGGATTCTGTTTCCTCGGTTGTAAGATACTTTGGTCCATCTACTTGAAAAACTCTAGGTTCTTCCATGCAAATACATATAGTCCTCTCTGGTCCACAAACATCTCTCTGCTTCCTTTATTAATTTATAAAAAATCCCCATTAACAAGCATGCTGCATTTGTTTTCCTGTAACCTGTCAAGCGTAAGAAACACAAGTATTCTGTTTAATCTAAAATATATATTTTGCCGCCTTCTTTTCAGCCATGCTTTTAATTCTCCCGTTTGCATCTGTTATCGCTTGACTTAAGCTGGCCACTCGGGGAATGAATACCTACCTTCCAGATAAATTATTCTTAAGTGCGATTATAAGTTTTTCTTTTGGACTGATTCTCAAGAGTCAAAAAGTTGGAATCGAACACGTCTGGATGTTTGCTGTAAAGGCAGGCCGTTATTTTTGTGGAGTTGATGTAGAGCATTTCTTATTTTTACCGTAGATTTATTTCCTTTACCAACACTAGTAATAAAACTCTCGACTTTTTGAAGATAGGCCCATTGTAGAGAATCTTACTGATTCTTTCAGGGCAGATTTGATTTGGGGATAATGCAGTCCCCATAGGGACTTGGAAGGGAGCATAAGGATTTCCAGAAATAACCTACTTCTACTTAAGAGAAACATTTTTCCCCCTTCAAAGTGTTTACATCCAAGTTATTTAATTTTGAAGAAGATGAGGTGGAGATCTTGCAACCTTCCAAATCGGTGCAAGACACACACACGCATGCACGACAACAAACGTTGAAATTGATGGGTGATAGAAATCTTGCATTTCAAATTGCAATTGAAGAAGCATTGGGGAAGAGCAAAATCCTGGTTGCTGTTGGGCAGAGAGCAGAAGCCGCAGACCCTGGCACTTTGCCAATGCTTAGCTTCGTTCCTATACCCCAGGCATCAGCAACCTCTTGGGGTACCTAATACCCCTATTCCTGAACTGCTGAGTCTTCCTCTCAGTAAGATGTTGCTTGAGGTTACTGACATCTTGGTTAAGAATTTTGAAATTGGGTCAGATTTGGGGGGAATTCTGGGGCGCTTCCCAGTCAACGTTTTAGTCTCCGTGAGCACTACACTCTTTATTATACAGGGACATACAGGTTCCCGATCAGAAATATTTGAACTCACAACATTGCTGCAGTGATATCTCAGGAATGGGGGAAGTGCGTCAAAAGATGAGGTTTTTAAATGCGACTGGATTGGTACCTGCTTTTCCCCAGGGAAGGATTTGGTCCAAGTATGGGAAAGTGGGCTGCTTGAACCCGCTGTCTTATCACACTAAACCAGTGAGGGCAAACCTTTTCAGCACCGAGTGCCCAAACTGGAACTCGTGTGCATATGTGTGCGCCAGAGTACCGGAAATCCAAAGACCAGCTGGCTGGTGTGCACGAATGCGCCAGCCAGCTAGTCTAAAGGGTTCCAGCATGCGCACCAGACAGCTGGTCTTCTTGCGTGCATTGGAGCACCGGAAACCCCAAGACCAGCTGGCTGGCGCACGAATGCCTGTTTTTTGGCCTGTTTTCAGGCCGTTTTCCAGCGCCCGCAAAGACCAGCTGGACGGTGCATGTGCCCACAGAGAGGGCTCTGCGTGCCACAGGTTCGCCATCACAGCACTAAACAGATGCAAAAACTCTGAGCATGGATGCGATACCGAGCAACACTACCTATGTTTTGTCTCCCTATTGCAAATCACATCCCTTCCCTTTCCCCATCAGTCTTTGTAGACTCAGGATCAAGATTTCCCTTTCTCTAGCTCCTTCTCCCTCCCTCTCTCTCTCTCCCTCTCCCAAATAACTCCTGAACCAGCTTAGATCCTTTGCTGCTGCTTTTGCATTGTGAACTATATTCCGATAGAAAGAATCCTCAGTTGTTAAGGGCCCCCCACTTCAGCCCACTTTTCTTGAGCACTTTATTCAAAAGTACGTTCAATCCCAGAATCTCCCGGAGATTCAGTTGACTAATCTCTCTGTGAAAAAAAAAAAAAGACACAAAAAAGACTGCAGTGCGTTTGTGCGACTGGTTTTATATGACTGTTCATAAAATGGTAAAGGGGTGGGGTAGGGGAAGCAATAGAGGTTTCATTTCATAAAAATAAATAAATAAAAGTTTGGTTTGGTTCAGGCAAGGCTGTATAAAACCTCTTCCGGAACCAAAGGGGGAGGGAACGCTTCTCAGTTTTCCAGAGAAGTAAAATTCTCCGATTTGAAAAGCTTTTGTGTTCTGTGATTCTCCTCCCGCCCCAAAAAATCCTTGTTTGTTTTAATTTTACATGGAATTGCAGAGAAACAGTCCATTCGTGGGGATCAGGTTTAAGACCCTTATGGTTTTAATTTTTTTTTCTCTCAAAAGACCAATTTAATTAACGAGCAGACTCCATCCCTATTCTAAGTTCTATTTCCCAGTTCTACATGGACGTTTCATGAATTTTATCCAGTCAAGCTTTATGTTCTCCATCCAAGGAGCAAGAAATAAAACGTTTTTTCCATTTTTAAACACAAGTCTGTGAAGCTGCACGCTGAAAGCAGCTTTCTTCCCAGATATTTATTTAGAATTATAATTAATGTATTTAAAATTGACAATGTTCTTATATATCTAAGATAAACCATAATTTAATAATTTGCAAGTTCCATTGACACTGGAGATGTGGACTGAACATTATTAGGTTGATGACAATTTTATTTTTAAAGGGCAATTTCTCTTCTTAACTATCCTTTTTTAAATAAAGAAACCATGGGAACAGAGTGGAAAAAAATCTGTACATTTAAATTTATTATGGGATGTTGTGTCTCCATCTTGTAAATATTTTCTGCCCTGTATATTGGTGGTATTTCCAGATTGATTTGTTTAAATTCTGTGGGGTAATAAATAAATATTAAATGAAGCAGCATCTTTTGTGTCCCTTGCTCTGATCATTCATCATTAACAGGGGTATTTCTTTTTTTGTCTTTTAATGATCCCGTAATCCCATTCATCGGGGTGCAGTCGGGGCAACTAAATGGAGCTGAGTGTTTACTGGCCGGATGCCCTTCCTGTTGCCAATGCGGAGTTCACAGCAGATATTTTCTCATTGTGCCCAGAGCAAGAAATATCTCCTGCTACCTAGGATGGAACTCACAGCCTCCTGATTGTGAGGCGAGAGCTCCACCTCTTGGCCACTGTACCACTCAACAAGATATTTCCTATGATGGTCTCAAAAGCCAAATGGATGAATATAGCATTATATTTGCAGGATATTTTTGGATGGAAATGGATTTAGGTATACCCAGCTATGAAATAGAAGAAAAATCTGCACCATATCAAAATCTCCATTTCTTCTCAAATAATAACAATTTTATAACAATAATACAAAACACAATTGATTCCAATGGCAATGGATTTAAGGCACAACATTCTTGATTACAAGTAAAATCCTCAGCTTATGATGGTCATAAAGTGTGTAATCACATAACCCCATTTTATGATCTTTTTCACAGCAGTCTTTAAGTGAATCACCACGATTGTTAAACATGTGATCATTACGCGAAGCCATTGTTTGCTGTGGGGCACATTTTTTTGGGTCAAACCTCAGAAATAAATGTTGACTTCTGGCAAAAATAAAAAATTTTTCATGCATCAATCTTCTCCAGCCTGGTATATAGCAGGATTGGGACTACTGCCTTTCCAGCTATCATGGATAAAAAAATGTATTGATTTCCTCCCCAGATAAATAGACTCTGAAAAGACTTTTGTATCATTAGCATGTTTTACCCCTAGACTATTCAACCTGAAGTATGTAGTGCCTCACATGGCAAAAAGAACCCCATCGGCTCAGTGGAACCTCAAGAGAAACCAGCAGATCTTAACGTTGGATACCAACTATATGTGTAAGGCAAGTTTCACTGTCTCTTGCAAAGATTCATGATCTACAATATATGTATAAATTATGCAGCTACTCTGGTCTAACACAAACATTTTTCTTAGAACACTAGGCTGGTGCTCCAGTTGTTTTAAATAAATGGTTCAATGCTAGGAAGTGCTACCTGTCTGTCTATCTCTGTTATCTATATCTGTGTATCATCTCATATCATCTATCATATCTATACCTACCTACCATCTATAATTATCTAATCTATCATCTATATCTATCTGATTTATCATTATCTCTTATCTATCTACCTATCTATCTATTTATCTATCTACCTATCTACATCCATCCATCCACCCATCCATATCTATATCAATCTACATCTATCTATCTATCTATCTATCTATCTATCTATCTATCTATCTTCATCTTCATCATTATCATCATCATCATCATCTAATCCAGGGGTGAAATCCAGCAGGTTCTAATAGGTTCTGGAGAACCGGTAGCGGAAATTTTGAGTAGTTCGGAGAACCGGCAAATACTACCTCTGGTTGGCCCCAGAGTGGGGTGGGAATGGAGATTTTGCAATATCCTTCCCCCAGGAGGGGAGGGAATGGAAATTTTGCAATATCCTTCCCCTGCCATGCCCCACAAGCCAGGCCTACAGAACCGGTAGGGAAAAATTTTGGATTTCACCCCTGATCTAATCTATGTGTCATCATCTATCAATCTCTATCAAACTTGTTTGAAAAGAAATCTAAGAAGCTCTTTAAACCTCCTGCAAAAGTTTAGCTCAGTGTTTCTTGACCTTGGCAACTTTAAGATACATGGACTTCATCTCCCAGAATTCCCAGACAGCTGTACAATACAATATTTCCCCCCAGATTTCTACCAGCATCATCCAGAATAATTGCCAGATTATTTTGGCAAAGAAAACTGTTGATACATTGAGCTTCCTCGGATGATTTCTCATCATCCTGATTATTCTATTGTAGAATTGTGATGCAGTTCAAAATGTTTTAGAGTACATTCTAAAATGGTATCAGTTCTGCACTTTAGCCAAGCGGGGAAAAAAGATACGAGTATCCTTTGTTAGCTTCTGGAATATGTAACCTTGTGTGATTGACATGCTATTCAGACATGGCTGACTCAGCTAAAGCGCCTATTAATGCAGGACAAGAAGGAAGTGTGTCAGGATTGAAAAAGGATGCTGAATTTATCTGAACACGCCATGTACAAATGGAATAGAAATTTAAATTAATAATTAAGGACCAAGTAAACTGTTTCATAGCTGCATGGAAATCTCAACAATCCTAATTCTGAATGCTTTGAAGCCCAGAAAATGTGCTTTTTAAATGTTTGTATAAAACTACTGTGGCTTTTAAAGAGACCAATGTTCAAAGCAACTTTATGAATTAGAAACATTTAAAACACCTAGTAGATGAAAGAATCTCATTTTATAAAGTAACAGTAACAGTGTTGGAAGGGACCTTGGAGGTCATCTAGTCCAACCCCCTGGTCATACAGGAGACCTGTACTAGAGATTCGAACTGCCGACCTTTCTGATAGACAAGCTCAGTGTCTTAGCCACTGAGCCACCTAGTCAGCCACATGTGATTACGCTTATCCAGGCAAATTCACACTGGGCCTTTGTCCTTATTTTGTCCAACCCTAATACTATTCATATTATTAACTTTATTTACAGGGTGTTTTTTTATATAAATTTATCATTATAAGGCAGGGGTCAGCAACCTGCAGCTCTGGAGCCGCATGTGGCTCTTTGGGCCCTCTGCTGTGGCTCCCTGTCAGGTGATCCCATCACTGGCTGGCCCGGCCCCTCACCCTCCCCTCCGTCACTCATCACCTGGCCTGAGAAGGTAAGGGCGACGGTGGGGGATGGAGAAGCGGCCAGGGCAGAGACAGAGAGATACAGAGAGAGCAGGAGAGAGTGGGGGGGGGCGGAAGAGAGAGAGGGAGGGAAGGAGTGGAGAGAGGGATATGTCAAAAGGATTTTGTGGTTCCCAGTGTTTTTTAACAACTGGTTCTCTGCCCTAATGACCAGCTGGGTAGGCGTGGCTAGGGGGGTGGTCATGTGACTGGTGGAAGTGAGTGACATCAAGCTGGCCACGCCCACCCAGGTTTTGTGGCTCCGGGTGTTTTCTTTTCTGTGGGAAACGGGTCCAAATGGCTCTTTGAGTATTTAAGGTTGCAGACCGGTTATAAGGAGTCCCAAATCTGCAGTTAGTTACTGATCTATGCTTGTCAACTTTAATCCATTCGTTTTGAAGGATGCCATAGAAGTCTCTTATTAGTACTGAGGCCATGAGCAGCCTATGGCAAGTTTTTAAATCAGAGTAAGCCAGGCTTTTTAGACCAGCTTTCCAGTTTAAAAATCTCATGCTTCAAGATAAAATTTTCACAGTACAAACTTGTCTGAAAGGATGCTACTGCTCTATTAGAATGGGAAATGTGGCTCTTTGGCGCCCTCTTTTGGAAACCACTGCTTAATACAATTTGATAGACAAGAATGTTTGAAGGCTGTCTATGAAAAAATGGTTGGGTCTAAATTAAGGCACACAAAATGAGACTGGCTAACTAGATTTCCCAGACCATTTCTCTCTTTTTTTTTTCTACTCATAAGTTTCCAGTCTATTAAAAAAAAACACAAAATACAGTTCACAGAAGATCCCAAAGGTGCAAATTTCAAAAGGCCTTTGTTTTTCCTCGAAGACGTTTCGCTTCTCATCCAAGAAGCTTCTTTGGTTCGTAAAGTTGCTTTGAAGAACAGACCTGAAGAAGCTTCTTGGATGAGAAGCGAAACGTCTTCAAGGAAAAACAAAGGCCTTTTGAAATTTGCACCTTTGGGACAACCATGACCTGAATGACTGAGAATCTCCATAGACATTCACAGAAAATGCTTTTATCTTCCTGTTGCATCTAAACATACTAATTCTTTTCTCAAACTGGAAATTTTGGATCCAGTATAAAAAGGTACAGTAATCAAGACGAATTAGTCCATGTAATCGCTAAACTGCCCCTAAACTGGAACCATGCAGGTGTGCTGAAATACAGTGTTAACTCCATACAGGGGTGAAATCCAGCAAGTTCCGACAGGTTCTGAAGAACTGGTAGCAGAAATTTTGGGCATTTTGGAGAACCGGTAGCGGAAATTTTGAGTAGTTCGGAGAACCGGCAAATACCACCTCTGGCTGGCCCCAGAGTGGAGTGGGAATGGAGATTTTGCAATACCCTTCCCCCAGGAGTGGGGAGGGAATGGGGATTTTGCAGTATCTTTCCCCTGCCACACCCACCAAGCCACGCCCACAGAACCGGTAGTAAACAAATTTGGATTTCACCGCTGACTCCATACCATATTCAGCGAGAATAATGGCTATTGTTATCCATCCATCTCTATGCCACAAGATTAGATGTTCGAACGTCAAGGCTGCCGTTTCACTACCAGCATTAAATTGAGTACAAGCACCACATCAAATCGTATCACTCATCTAGCAATTAAATCTTTTTCAACAAAAGGGAGTTGACCTCTATGCATATTTATAGGGCTGCTCTATAAATAAATAGAAAGTATTTTTTTAAAAAACAATTCCTTGTCAGGGGTACCAGGTCTCCTTGTCACCATACTTTTTGCACAATACATCTGGAAAAATGAAAGGGCATTTTTCATGTTAGGGAAGCAATCAGGGAGAACAAATGACTTTGTCAATGACGTTTTGGAAACTAAGCAGCGGAAGAGAGTAGAGGTGGGAGAAATACCTAGATTGAACAGCCAAGAAGCAGATGCAGAGATAAAGATCCACGAGAGGAATATGGGAGGTAAGCCAAAAAAAAAGCATAGCAATTAAAGTATTAAAGCGGGCAAGAGACGATGGGTAGATGATTTTCTCTTTGTTGTTGTCCTGGTTTGCTTTTCCTTGTCTCTCTCTCTCTTCTTTTTTTAGGTGGGTGACATGATTTTAATAAAGGGTGACATGATTAAAAGTTAGAATAAGAGATAGAAATAAGAGGAGGAGGAATATTAGTGTATGCACTTTTATATAACAAAATAAAAGCAATAACAAGAGAAAGCATGGAATAATGGAATAATGACAGATTGCAACTTAATATAAATGTGTATCATTATTAGAAATATATAAGTTGATTGAATGTAATAACTATGATTAATTCTATTAGTTTTATTTGTATTAGAATGTATGACACCTAGATGCCACACTGTTCATGCATTGATGTTTCTTAAAAAATTAAAAACTTTAAAAAAAAAGAATGTTCAAGGGAAGAAAAATGCATTGTGGAACAGGACACAGAGCCTCCCACCGCCGGCACTACCGGTTCGCCCAAGCTGGATAGAACTGGCTGCATTTCACCACTGCTTTAAACTGAATCCTACGAAGGTAGAAAGCCTGGCTTGGTCCACTGGGGCATCTTAAATCGCTAAATGAAAAATCAGATTGCTGGCACAATTTCATGGCCTTCATTTTTTTTAGAAGCTATTTTCAGCAAATGGGGAATTAAAATGAGTTCACATGTATAATGCAAATGAGGAACTTCTAATAGAGCAGCTGAAATGTGACTGAAGAGGTTTAGGTGAGATCTGATCGCATTGCCAGTACCACAATTGAAAAATACAATTTGTTCAAAAGGACCAATGCAATAAGGAGAAATTACTTAGAAATACAAAAGAAATTAGTGGCACATTTGAGAGCATCTGGGCTAAAATACATAAAAGCAGTACTCGGCTTTTATTCAACTCTGGCTTGAAAATTGGGAAAAAGGAAGATCTGGAAACTACAGTCAGCCTAATATCAAAGTCTAGGAAAATTCCACAGCTATCAGAGATATCTAAAATTAAAGAGCTATCTCTTTGATAACTCTAGAATTTCCCATCATTTCTATCCCAAATTTTAATGACAGTTCTAGAATATTCTGTCATTTCTATCCCAAATTTCAACATTTTATTCTGAAATGACATTCTGGTGGAGGCTCTTGTTCAGTCTTTGCTCTTCCATTACATTATTTGCCATATTTTTCTTTCTATTCCCACTCCTAAAGATAAAAGTGGATACAGTAATGTCCTATCTTTACTCTAGAAAGAGTGCAGAGAAGAGCAACAAAGATGATTAGGGGACTGGAGGCTAAAACATATAAAGAACAGTTGCTGGAATTGGGTATGTTAGTTTAATGAAAAGGAGGACTAGAGGAGACATGATAGCAGTCTTCCAATATCTCAGGGGCTGCCACAAAGAAGAGGGAGTCAACCTATTCTCCAAAGCACCTGAAGGCAGGAGCAGAAGCAATGGGTGGAAACTAATCAAAGAGAGAAGCAACCTAGAACTAAGGAGAAATTTCCTGACAGTGAGAACAATTAATCAGTGGAACTTTCCTCCAGAAGTTGTGAATGCTCCAACACTGGACATTTTAAAGAAGAGATTGGACAACCATTTATCTGAAATGGTATAGGGCTTCCTGCCTGTGCAGGGGGCTGGACTAGAAGACCTCCAAGGTCTCATCACACTCCATTACTCTGTATTCTGTATACCTTTCGCAACAATCATTCGCTTGCATGTAGTTTTAACTTATCCAGAATTAATTTCACCTCAAAGTATCTTTTTTTCATACTTCCCATCAGCTCAGCCTATTTCTATGGCACTTTGCTCCAAGCAATTTCAGTTTCATGTTCCCCAAGTTCACTTTCCATACATTCTGTTGTATAGAATTGTCTACTAGTATTTTTGCTACATCACTCATACATTTCTTGCTGCAGTTCTACTTTCATTCTTCATTTTTTCTGTATTCTATTTTCCCCGACTCTTATTTATATGTATTATATAGAGTGTCACACACTCTGGGTAGCTTACAAAATTAGAAACACACAAACCCACCAAAAATAACTCTGTTGCCCAAGGTTGAGTCAACAATGGATTCAAAGTTTAGTACTCCAACTCTGTAGTAAACTAAGGGCAACTTGCAAGTGGGATATGTGGAAGTTATTGAGCAAATGTGATAAAAAAAATAACACAATTAGTTGAGATAGTAATATTACACGAGTAAGAAATGTTCTGATTTAATCAATAGAGTATTTTTCCCTTTTATAATGTGACAGTCCCTAGTTCTTGTTTTTCTTGAAAGGTTGTGGCACTGGTTGTAGGCAACCATATACCTAATAATAAATAAATAAATACAATTTCTAAAAACCCAAATAGCCACTGATGCTTTTGTCCATTGATTCTTCCATTGAAGTTTTCCCCCAAAAAGTCTTGCATAGTACAATAGTCAAAGATGTATACTTTATAGATGTCTTTGTGGGGTCTTGATGGATTCTTCTAATGTATAAGCATTTCAGAAGGTGTATCTGAGAAAACTACAAAATAAGATTGACAGATAGTCCTTACATTCTGGAATACTTTGTAAGCTAATAACTGAAACGAAATCACTCATCAAATTTTCTATGAAGATAGAAAGATGTATTTTAAGCCTCCGTTGAATGACATCTTCTATTTTTGTGGAACACTTTTTAAATTTTTTTTCAAGTTTTTATTGTAAGTAAATATTTTAAAACTTCCACAGCACTCAGATTTTCATACAAAAACTATCCTAGTATATTTACAGATATTGCTTGAAACATTCAGAAGTCTTTGTACAATAGTAAAGGAGGCTGAAAGCATTTCACAATCATCGCAGGCTTCAATCCAAATTCACATGCAGTCCACCACGTTGCTAGATCCTTGACCCATATCACGAATTTGACTGCTTAGGCAAGAGCACACAGCAACTCCTGCCCCAGCTCTGCAGTGAGACACGGAGCCCACAAGCTCCCATCTAAAGAAAAAAGAAAAGACAAAAGAAATGCAAGTCAAGTTGCTTTACTTTTTCCTGATCTTAATGTGAAAAAAGTCAGTCTGCAGGCTAAATAGACCTTAATCTCATGTACCAATTTAATTTTAAAATACTTTTTATTTTGGTGTCTATTTAAATACGTAAGTTGAAATTAAACACACAAAGAAAAGTTTGAAGATAGAACAGTAAAGATCATTTGAAACAGAGGTTGGAAATCACACAAACTCTAAGCCAGTGTTTCTCAACCGTGGTAGCTTGAAGATGGGTGGACTTCAACTCCCAGAATCCGCCAGCCAGCGCTGCTGGCTGGGGGATTCTGGGAGTTAAAGTCCACCCATCTTCAAGCTACCAAGGTTGAGAAACACTACTCTAAGCCATTCCAGCAAAACATGAACTATTGTGAAACCCTGGTTCATAAATGATGACATAGCTTGTTCTTTAACTGAGATGCACCCGACAAACTACAATTAAATAAATTATGATTCATGACAACATATGACTTCAATCACTGGATGGGTTTCACACTGCACTCATAAACTATGGTTTGAATCACAATGGCTGAATTAACATAGCAACCTAAGCCAAAATGAGAACCAAAAATCACATTATGACATGACACAATGGATGAACCAAATTGTTTTTTAAAAAAATCAGTAACTAAGGAGAGATTCAAACAGACAAAAGCACCACATTTAGAATCTTTGTACACATTCCCCCCTAATATATAAACTGTTGAAAACAAATTTACAATGCAGCTTTTAAGCTACAAACTTAATCCTGAAGAAGAGTAAGGCATAATGCCAATCCACACTTTAATGTTGCCTCTCTACCAGAGCAAGTGCTTGCCTAAAAATCAATACCTCAAGTTACTCCACACTCAAGAACACTTGATCTTCTCAAGATTGATTCAAGGCACAAAATGTAGAGTTTTTTTAAAAAAAAAATATTAATTTTATTGAACTTTTGACTTTTAAAAACAAAGAAAAATACAACAAAAACAAAAACACATTAAAAAACACATCACAAACATAACATTACATCATATATTATTTATATAAAGAATAGAGAATATATATCCATGTCGATACAGTAAACTGTAAAATAATATATAATATAAAATGTAGAGATTTATATCGAGTAAAAAAAACCTGCTTGAGTAGTGTAAAAATATGAAAATTATATATTAAATCTGACTATACCAAAGCCTTCCTACTTTTAATGAGCCAATTAAGAAATGAACAAGCCAAAAGAGCTGTGAAAAAATCACCCAGTGAGACCTTACAGAATGTAAAGAGTACTGAGTGCCTTCCTTACAAATTGTTAAAGTAGCTGCATTGTTTGCAATATAGGGCTTTGCATGTGCTCTTCCACATTATTTTCAAACGCTTCGAGTACAAAGAGGGCTTCAAATTACCTGTTTGCTACTGGATCAAAGGTTTCCACTGTGTTCAGGTAAGCATTCCCATTATGTCCTCCAACAGCAAAAATTTTGCCCATTAATGTTGCTATGCCAACTCCACCCCTAGGAGTTGTTAGTTCTGCTACATATTCCCACTTATTAGTGCGAGGGTCAAACCTCTCAACCGAGCTGAGTGGAGAATTGTCGTCAAAACCACCTGCACAAGAACATACAGACAGGGACATGACTCTTTTAATTAATGGCTTTATAGCCCAACAACATAGGAAGCATACCATACATTCTGTTCTTCAAACATCACATCAAAATGCAATAGATCTGCTAAGAGAATTCTTCACACAAGCAATGATAGGTGTATTGTAAAAGATGGATTGCCCATCACAACTATTTCCACCCCAAAGAAAAGCTATTACTTTAGCCTACCATTTACAAACTAACATTACCAGGTATAATAATGTTACATGCATGTGGTAGAGAAACCCATGTAAGCCAAGAGGTGGGGAACTGACTAGCAAGTAACTAGCTTGTTGATTAGCAAAAACTAATCCTCTAAAGATGAAGTAATCTGAACGTTTTCCTCCTCATTCTCTTGAGCATTCAGGGATTGGGTTTGAAAACCAAAACAGACTCTTGTAGCCTAAGCGGACAAACTAAGCCCTCAAGAGTAACTCAACATGCCATGTCCAATCTACTTGTCTAGTCCCCATACCTGCTCCTTCATCAATCAGAGTTCACAGAAACTCATACTTAACAAAATAACAGAGGTGGAAGGAACGTTGGAGGTTTTCTAGTCCAACCCCTTGCTCAACAGGAGACCTTGTACCACTAGAGACGAGCAGTTGTCCAATTTCTTCTTAAAAACCTCCAGTGATGGACCACCCACAACTTCTGAAGACAAGCTGTCAACTGTTCTAACTCTCAGGAAATTTCTCCTCAGTTCTATGTTGCTTCTCTCTTTCATTAGTTTCCATTCATTGCTTCTTGTTCTGCCTTCAGGTGCTTTGGAGATTAGGTTGACCCCCCCCCCCCCCTCCTTTGGGGCAGCCCCTTAGATATTGGCTGCAATGTAACAGAAGGCTGGTGTCTTCTCTTCACCATAATCTGCTTCTATTATTGAAGTTCAAGCAAAGCTATGAGAATATAAGGGATCAAAAGAGAGTAAGGGCTGAACATTACTTACCTACCACATATAAGCAGCCATGAAGTTCACTAACCCCATTGCCAGCTCTCCGCTGACCCATTTCTTTTACTTCTATCCATTTATCAAGATAAGGATCGTATTTCTCCACACTAGACAGAGAAGCCACACCATCATTTCCACCGACGGCATATACATTATTCTGAAATGAGAAAGAGAGTAAGATTCTATAAATTCTTACATAGATATATATAAACAAACACCTACTTTATATTAAATCACATGTATTAATTTACTTTTGCCAGTCTAAGTTTAACTATCTCACATTGAATTGTAAAAATAATGAAACAATACAAATTGTAATCCAACTGGATAAACTGAAACCTAGTGCGAAATTCTGAAAAATATTGAACAGGTGTTTGTACTACTATATTGCTGTATTTCTCTCACCTGTTCTATTCCATGTCTTATTTACTATCAGAAAGCAGCCCCTGCATTGAATATAGTTATAGCTGAAGGACTCCATATTATCTTACTATTTCTGCTCTGGCAGGCAATGTTTGCTGTCCATTTCAAGGCTGCTCAAGAGACTCACCAGAAGAGCTACAGAACCAACTCCTCCGCGAGGGGTATTCATAGATGCAACTCCGCTCCACTGGTCCGATTCCATGTCGTATCTCTCCACCTCACTGAAGCAAGTGTTATCATCTAAGCCTCCGATGGCATAAATGGGGCCTCCAAGAGAGGCGAGAGCAATTCCTCTCCTAGCGAAAAGCAGACTGTCACTTATCCAACTATATTTAAAAATAAAGCAGCAAATGTACACGTAAGGTATATTTTTGCACTCGTGTCAGCAGCACCGAGGCACTTCCGGGTTGAAAGGATTGGCCAGTGACATCACTGTTGCTCTGGGGACGTCCAGTTGGGGGCTCCTTTCATGTCCCCAGTAGGAACTTGGAGTGAAGGACAAGAGTTCAACCCCGCCCCAGAGCAGCTCTTGGGTCTTGAACGCTAACCTCCTGCCCAGTTCCAACCACACGAGCCAACATCCTCCTTATAAGGTATGTTCCATGTTTTCCCGAAAATATGACCTACCCTGAAAACAAGCCCTAACCTGATTTTCATGCCTGCGCCTAATATAAGCCCTACCCCCCCAAAATAAGCCCTAGTTAAGTCCCGCCCACCATCTGGTTGTACAAGGTGGGGTGAGGCATATGCGTAAAAATCAGGCTAGGGTGGGGGGTGGGGGAGCTGTCCCATGCGCTTCGTACCTGCTTATTTTAGGACTGCTGCAGCCAGACCTCCCACGCCCCGACACTTGTCGCGCCACTGCCTAACTTCTTCTGCAGAGCAGCTGCAAAAGTCAGGCAGCAGCACGACAGGTGTCAGGGCATGGGAGGCCTGGCTGCGGTGGTCCTAAGGTAAGCGGTTAAAATATCCCCCCAAAATAAGACCTGGTGCTTATTTTGGGGCCAAAAGAAAATAAGACTGGGTCTTATTTTCGGGGAAACATGGTAGTTTGGTATCTTTGACTCACTTGGGTAACCAAAGTCAACATGTAATGTAATAAAACCCACATTTTTGTCCTTTTAATCTTAAAGCCTTGTCTACGTTTCTAATTTCCATCATTCTTTCCCCATATTGCAAATTTATTTTGGATGATGGCATTGTGTAGCTTTATATTTGCCATTTTTGTATTTGTTGTTTCATCCACTTGCGGTAAGCTGCCCAGAATTCCTTTTGGTGGGGTGTACAAATGTGATTAATAAATAAAATTTTTAAAAATGATGGGTATGGAGGTACCAGATGTGTTTAATGGTCCATGACAATTATGTGATAAACAATGTCTCACATGAATCTACACATTTCTGATAAGGAAGGCACATCTCCAAATTTACCTACCTTTTGGTATTCATTGATGCTTTCATCATCCATTTATTTGTGAGAGGATCAAACACTTCCATGCTGCCTAGGTGCTCATTTCCATCGTGCCCACCCACAGCATAAACTTTCCCTGAAATGGTCAGACAATGTATTTCTTAAGAAGAAAAGTAAGAATAGCCCATCATCTTATTTTTATTGCTATTTATCGCTAATATTATAATCTGCCCAGACATAGCCAATTGTAGTTAATACATGTTTTGCCAATTTAACTGTTCTCTCCCCCCCACTGAAGGAACTCTTTCTTCCTGCATCACCTGCTGAATTAAATGGTTAACAAATGCACCGTACTGGTAAATATTAGCACATTTTTACTTTTTTATTCAAGCATTTAATCTATAGGATATCATTACAATTCTTGGAGTAAACATTCGTCCAATTTAGCATCTGACATCGGATTGGCTGGAAGAACATCACATCGCTCGATCCAGAAGATTATTCTGACTAACGTCAAACAGAAACTTTGGAGAACAAACCATAGCCAACATCTACCACCCGAGCTACAAATATTTTCTATCATTTCAAATCAGTTTGGCTTTTCTGATGACCTTTTCTCAGGATATCAAAGCTTCTTTATTCAGGCGTACATTTGACCTAATGATTTTTTTAATTCTGGCATTTTGTACTTGTTGTTTTCCAGTAGTACCAGGTTACTACTGAGCCCTCTTAACAATTTCCACTATGTTTGTGAGTTCTCTTTGAATATTTTCTTTTAATAAAAAAGCATTATTAAGCAAGATTTTGTTTACTAGGTCACTACTAGCAAACAATATTTGGGAGGCGAAAAGAGATGCCCCAAACACAAGGAAGGGAAATCTGAAAGAAAATCAGAGGCTTTGCCAAGGGGAGCCTATGAAAATACAAGGCTACCATGTTTCCCCAAAAATAAGACCCTGTCTAATATTTTTTTGAACCCTGAAATAAGCGCTTGACTTTATTGCCCTGTGCTCAAAAGCCCGATTGGGCTTATCATCAGGGGATGTCTTATTTTGGGGGGAAAAGGGTAGGTTTTAGAAAAATCCATACCTGATCCAGATGAAATTGCTGCAGCAGAATACTCTAATTTATTATAAATGAGCAAGTATTGACTTATTTCCACGATTTGGTTCTTTTCAGCTAGTTTTAGGACTTGTGTAGAGAACAGATTACATCTTAAGTGTGATTTATGCATTCTGTATTTATGCAGAAATATTAAGAATTCAAAAGCATTCACAAACTTTTAAGTACTGCTGTATACATACATGAAAAACACAAATACAGTACAATTTTGTGTTTGACAGGGAGAGCTTGGTATATATAGATGGGGTACATTTTATAAATGAAGAATGTTAAGTTATAGATATTAGTAATTCAGTTTTGCTCTAGTGCTATTTTTGGAATGTTTATGGCAAGTATATACAGACATAACTGTGATGCACAAACCAATATATATGTCTCATAAGAAATTTAATAGGGGGAGATTTCCTAGGTTGAAAAAATGGGGAAGTTATGCACTACACAGAATATTAGTCCTATTTCCCACCCACCCCCAACTACCTTTTTTTGCTTTGCTTTTGTGATAATCATCTTAAATTCAGAGTTTTCTTCCTTCTCGGAAAATACAGTGATTATAGGGTAGAGGGAATTGCTGAATCATAAGCTACAATAGACTACAGAATTATTTGAAAATAGAATTTTCTTCTTACGAACCTCCCACAGAGATTACTCCTACATGCCTCCTTCTACTGTTCATTTCAGGGCCAAAAAACCAGCTGTTTTTATTTATTGAGTAGCATTCAATACTGCGAAATGGGTCGCCTGATCCCCCACGTCCTCCAACACAGAAAAGGACACCTAGCAGGAAAAACAAAAACAAAATGGAGAGTGGCTTATTTGATAAGATTTAAATTAATTAATAGAATTCAGCGGGTATCAAATAAAGCACTCATTGAACTCATTAACAGGATTTCACAGAACAAGAAATTTTCAAATCTATACCATCAGCATATCAGGAAAAAATAAAAATACCTGCTGTGTGTTTCCTTGGGGTTGTCCGAACAGAATATTCAAAATCTGGTACCGTATGACTGCTTAAATGAAGGTGGTAGTTTCTTGCTTCATCTAACAAATCTCGGCATTTTAAGTTCTGCTTGACTATTTGTTCTTTTGCAACAACTCCCATAAGGAAACAAACAGGTAACAGAGGCAGGCGTACCTAGGGGAACAAACGTAAGTGATGAACTGAACAGCATCAAGATCAAAATGAACATCTTCCCATACCACTTTGACCAATGAGAGAATGCCAGGCTACAGTGCAATTTTCATTCTTACTGCTGCATATTGCCCAAGGATATGGAAATTTTGCCTACTCTGGCCAGATAACTGGCATGGTTATCAGCAAAGAATTTCAAAAATAAATAACCTTTATTTATCAACAAGCCTGGTTGGTTAAACTAGTTTTATTTAACCAGTGAAAGGGTGCAATATGCATGTTTCATTAGGACAAAACTGCAATGCAAATTCAGACTGGAAGGAATAATATCAAGCACTCTGGAACCAATGGAGATGCTACCCAAACCAATTCCTAACGGCTTACTCATTGAAGAAGTCCTGAAAGAGCTGAATATTTTTTCAGCTAAATAGCCAAAAGCCTGCAAAGATCAGCTCGGTTAACAAGCCTATCAGGTACTGTCATTTATTCAAGATGAACAACTGAAATTGTCTCATCTTAGTACCCCGTTTTCCCCAAAATAAGACATCCCCTGATAATAAGCCCAATCGGGCTTTTGAGCGCATGGCAATAAGGCCAAGCGCTTATTTCAGGGTTCAAAAAAATATAAGACAGGGTCTTATTTTCGGGGAAACACGGTCGCACTATACGGAGAGGGAATATCCTTGAAGACAAATGACAATAAATGTAATTCCAATTCCTCTATTAGGCATTCTTTGGTCATCCTGCCTCTATGCTGCAGGTTGCCATTTACATAATTATATAGTGCAGGACTGTCAATATTGAACAAAAGCTGTAACAACAGCGGCAATCTTCTGGCTGCTAATTTTCAACCTGGAGACCTAGGCTAATCTAATCAGTAACTGGATGGGAGAACACCAGGACATAGGAGGGTGTAGGATAGATTAACGGAATCTATTTCCATATTGTCTCCAAGTCTAAATGGACATAAGGAGTTGAATCTAACAAAAGCTAATGGTACCTATTTGGCTGAAGTTAGAGAACCAATTGTGCTCAGTTTATACATATACCACTAAAGCTGCATAAAGAAAAAAAAATATGGCTGCTTGAAAGTACCATCATAATTTTTTTTAAAAAAATACAATGAGAGGAACAATATAGATATTTACAGCACTTTTATCCTACTCTCATGTGGTTCTTACCTGAGCAACTATTTCATCTAACCATAAAGCATGGTGCTGGGGATTGGCCAAAAGCCATTTAATAGCAGCACAATAAACTTGCTTTTCATTCTCAATGCTCAGGTCACTTGAAGACAAGAGTTTATGAAGATGCTGAGGTGATACACTCACAAAGTCTTCACATTCCACCACTTCAACAAAGTGTTCACAGGCATAGTGGTCAGCCATGTCCATCAAGTCAATACGGTTGTGACTCTCTGCAAAGGCCCTCACTGCCAGGCAATTGGAAGGGTGAAAATGCAGCTTCATGTACTCACAGCAAGCTTTGGCCACTATCTCCACTTGGAGAATGCAGGCAGCATATAAGAGAGGCTGGACATTGTCAACTGTCAGCATTAGTCGGGAGGAATACACAAACTTGACCAAGTCTTCAATGGCATCACCGTCAAAATCTTTGATTTCAATCAATGATTGTTTAGCTTCTGCCATTTCCGAAAGAAACATGGCTCTGAAGTAAGGTATAACGCAAGCCAGGACAAGCTTGTGACAGGTAATCAATTTTGAGCCCACCTGGAAGTAAAACATATAAGAATGTTAACAGTAGCTCACTTTATTTATTTATTTTATTTATTTAATCTAATTTTTATACCGCCCTTCTCCTGAAGGACTCAGGGCGGTGCACAGCCAAAGATAAAACAAGCACATATATAAAATTTAAAAACAATTTAAAAACATATTAAATAATTTGGCCCCGACATCATTAAAACAAAAACAACCCATTAAAATTAATAGTTAGGCCAGCCCAGCTTGTTGGAACAATAACTTCTTGAGGGCACGGTGAAAAGTGCATAAGTCAGGGATCATCCTTATCTCCGGGAGCAATTCATTCCAGAGGGTGAGTGCCCCCACAGAGAAGGCTGTAGCCCATTATTTAAAGCAACCCACAAGGTCCACAAATCAAATAGAATGTTTGATAATATGTTTTATTGATATTTCAGTAAACTGAAAGTTCTTGCAAATCTTTTCGTTTTGCTTAAGTGTTACTTATCTCACTGGTGTAAGTTTTTCCAGTTTTCCCTTTTTTTCTTCCTGCCTGCAGATCAGTGGTGGGTTTCTACCGATTCACCCAGGTTTGGCCGAATTGATAGTGGCGGGAGGCTCTGCCCACCCGCCCAGACGTCATCACAGATGCTCTGCATGTGCACAAACAAAACAAGCGGGTGCACGCACATGCTCCCAATTCCAACCAGTAGCAAAGGTAAGAGGAACCTACTACTGCTGATGATTGAAGTATTAGTTTCTATTTCAGGAGGATTCCTCCCCCTACCCCCCGCCTGTCGACCAGAACTGGTCTGAGGCATGCCAGAAACTGGGCCACACAAACAAGCAAAGTCCCATCTGCAGGATGCAGGCAGCATGTGAAACCATGCCCCCTCCAGTCCGCGAAAAAAACTCTCTCCAGGGAACCGGTCCTTGGTGCCGAAAAGATTGGGGGCGACTGTTTTATTTTACAATTAATGATTAGTAAATTTATTCTCTTTCTGAATCTGCTGCCCTTTTCATTATTTACAAGTAGCTAACTCACATTATCACTATATCTACTCAACTCCTATACTTTTTTAAAGCTGTAGCGGCATATCTTTTATGTTAACAACTTTCTGCTTAACCATTAGCTAAACTGCTGGGTGTAGAAAAATGTTAGTTCAGCTATAAACTGTTTATAACTATTTGCACAACACATTGTAATCCATTGTAGCTAGTTCTCCATTTCAAATAAGAACCCCCACTCTCTTAACATGGGGATTATGGAAGAATCTCTTATTTGTGCAAAAATTCTCGGTCATGTAAGTTTTTATCCTACAAGTTCATTCAACGGTATATTTCATGCCAGCTTAATGAACTTGCCTAGGCACTGAATTTCTAACAATTATACATCCTTAAATTAGACAGAAAGTGATTTTTCTTCATTTGTATTCATATCCATCATTATTCAGAGCCATTGCAAGATTCCAACAAGTATTAACTGTCCTTTTAATAAGATTTCCAGAAATTTTTAAATAAAAAAAGAGTGATGTGAATGCTTGAAATTCATTCCCAATCAGTCAGTGGAAACACAAGTGATGAAGCAAATATGTCTTCTAGTACTTCACAAAATACATGGGAAATTCCACAGAGAAATTCAAAATGATATAGAAAATATACAGCACTACCTTTAGCGTCACGTCACAAAGCTCCCCGGCTTCATAGAAATGGAGAAGAGAGCTGTGAAAATCCTTCCAAGCTTCATTTGCTTCAAATACAAACGTGTCTTCTTCCCCATCACAGTTCAAAGGTGTCCTTTCCTGCTTTTGATGTCTTTTTCCGGTCACCGTATGTTTTCCTTGCTCTGGGACCATTGATTCAGAAGCCATTAGCTGTTTATCTTTTTTCAAGTGTACTTTTAGTCTCCATGAAAAGATCCAGCACACATCCTATTATGTGCACCAGCTAACATCCATTTGGGAATAGCCAATATCTTCCAATTTAAAAACAAAACATAAAAGAGATTAGGTATTTCTCTCAATAGTATGCCTGAAACACATATTTCCACAAATACTTTGCCAGCTACTATTCTGCGTCTTTGAACAGATCAATGCAAATAAATAGAAAATCAAGAAAGGGGCTTATGGTTTTTGACTGGAACTAAAATTAGTATATTTTGAAAAGAGACAATCAAGGAAGGTTAAATCATGCACTGCCATCGACATTTAGAGGAAGCTCATGATGCTGACAAAGGGCACATGAGGTTCTGCAGGTCTATTCAGTATAGCATGAAGATAAAAATCACTGAAAATTAGCAACTTTTCTACTTAACAAGAAGTAGATCACGTCACACTGACATTGCGGGGGGGGGGGTCATTTTATTGAACTGAGAGTCAAAACTGCAGGACACTCTTTTTTTCTGGATGCAAACAGTTTTCCGTACTGACACATGAACACAATTTAGTCAAAATTCAGCGTAAATGAAGAACTGTGAATCAAAATGGTAATTATTCTTGAGAAGAGATTAGATATGTTTTACTACAGATACGTAAATTTACTCTTTTACTATTTAAGTGGATTATACCTTCAAGCAAAAATGCTTGAAACCTTTTTAGCTCAATGCCCAGGTGAAGTCATCAGTAATGGGAACTATAGTGTATGCTCTAACTTAGTGGTTTCTGAACTATAGCCTACAACTAACTCCAAGCAAGCAACATTATTCCAAAATATGAACAAGAATCTAGGGGTAGGGTCCCCACAGTAGGCCTTAGGCTACACAACATAAGGAAAAAAACATCCCCAAAATTATCTGAATAACCTGCTAAGTGATAACCTGACACAGAGTCACATATAGTCCCCTTGCCCATCAACAACACTCATACTGATAATGTCTCTCTTTATTTTGTCTTGCTGCCCTGCTAGTACATGAGAAGTCTGTTCTCACTAGAGGTACAAATGACTAAGCACAAACAATTCTACTTTGGGCACATTTTGTGAAGACTTAACTCTCCATTGAAGACTCCAATGCTGAGAAAAGTAGTAGGAAGAGAAGAGGACAACCAGCAGCAAAGTGGCTGGACTTAGTTATAATTAACAAATAATTAAAACACTTAAAATTAGTATTTAATTTTCCCTACACTTTAAAAATGGTGACTTGGAACTTTTTGCAATGAAGCCCTCAATGAACCATATGAAAATTGGCAAGGCCCTCAGCCCTATGAAAATGGAGCCTCTTAACTTTATCTTAAGACATATGAAGCACCTAAATCATATGTCAAATCAATGTTATGGCTACTGGTGACACTTCTGCATGAGAACCCCAGTGATTTATGCAACACAAAGTGAGCAAAGCAGCAGCAGTTGTTGCAAAGTTAAAAAAAACCATGAACAGTATTCATCACAGAAATAACTCTCAAATAATAGAAATGGCACACAACTTATCCAAGAGCCTAAAGATTCAAATGTCTGAAGCTGTTCCACAATAAACCAGAAAATGTCAAATCTAATGTACTTCTAACAATGTTAAAATGTTCCATCCTAGTCACAACAGAATACAAGCAATGATGCCTCTTCCCCTTCTCTTCATTGCTAAATTTGGAAATGAATCTATGGAGAATTTCATCTCTCAATATTACTTGAGAGGAAAGCAATCTATCTTTAAAATGATGACCTCCAAAGAAAGAATAAACAAAAACCAAAATTAGATAAATAAAGATCCTATGGAGCTTCTTAAATTAGAGCCGTCAGCTGAAACAAAATTTGGAGATTTCCTTCCCAAGAAATGTGTGCATGCATTATATCTGTATATGCACATATATACACAAATATCCTTACCCAAAACTGAAATCCATAAACTAATTGCTGATTAAAATTTATTTATTCTAAATTAAGATACCTCATTTATAAAAATAATTGTGTATCACTTTTATGTACCAATTAGTCTCACAAGACACACATATCCTGTCCATTCTTGCAGCAGGGAAAAAAAACAAGGGGGGAAACAGGGTAAGGGAAAAGGAAGAGAATTAGTTTGTAATTTACAGAATGAGTTAAACTTCACTGGGAAGATTTTATTTTCAAACCAAGGCTTCAAAGATACTCATGCAGATAATCAGCAGAGACATTTATACTTTTTGCCCTGTTCTTTTTTATAACAGTCTCTAATCTTAACAATGAAGGCAAAGATATCTCCCATACAAACCTCTTGGTTTAAGAGTACTAAATTAATGTCTGGAATGACTATCTACAATATTTTAGGATTTATTCTACGATCGAACTCATCTTGCTTTGTAAAACTGCTGGTATTGCATGAAGCTATAACTGAACAGGTGGAAAACGGAACGATTTAGTTCCATTTTATAGTGCATTTTTAAAAGGATATTTTAATTTTTAAAACATTGTTTTAAAATAATAGTGCCGCCTATCAAGTGTGACTTGGAACAACTCAAGAAATGATTTCCTTCATTTCTCAATATTTTAATAAAGCAAGAGAGAAACTGCTTCTTCAAAAGACGTTGTTGGTAGAGTAGAGTAGAATAGAATAGAATAACAGAGTTGGGAGGGACCTTGGAGGTCTTCTAGTCCAACCCTCTGCTCAGGCAGGAGATCCAATACCATTTCAGACAAATGGTTGTCCTATCTTTTCTTTAAAACTTCCAGTTTTGGAGCATTCACAATTTCTGGAGGCAAGTTGTTTCAATGATTAATTGTTTTAACTGTCAGGAAATTTCTCTTTAGTTCTAGGTTGCTTCTCTCCTTGATTAGTTTCCATCTGCTGCTTCTAGTCCTGCCTTCTGGTGCTTTGGAGAATAGCTTGACTCCCTCTTCCTTGTGGCAGCCCCTGAGACATCAGAACACTGCTATCATCTCTCCCCTAGGCCTTCCGTTCATTAAACTAGACATACAAAATATTCAACAAATGAAATCGGAGTAGGGGAAACAAAAAAGGTCTTACTGGGAAATTCCTATCCACAAACTTATTACTGTGGGATATGCCACAAGGTTCAGACTCCTGATTAGTACTGGATTCTCCTAGTACAAAGGAATTGGTGGTGATCGGGAATCGGTGGTGATTGGCTGCTGGGAGCCACAGGCGGGCCAGTAGGGATCACAGGCAGGTGCTATGGAGGGATGAATCCTAGGCAATGAGGGGGATTTTTATTTTTACCATCCTGTGCAGGGCAACCAAATGGGCAGAGATGGTGAGGTGATGGTGCCTCATCTGAGCTGGCTTTTTTTAATGGCTGCTGGTTTCTCCAATGTGGGTTCCATAGCTTCTGCTAAAAGGATTTCTAGGGTGATGAGGCAGCAGAGGCAGAATATTGTGGTCTCTGTCAAAAGGGAAAAGTTGGAGAGGGGGAAAATAGGAGGGGGCGTTGGAGAACTCACTCCAAGTTCTCACATGCCTGGAAAAGGTGACTAGATGCTACAACGGTCATAAATACAGGCCAGGCACATACCCAAATGTTAATCAGGTGACCATGGGGACACAGTGATTGTTGCTAAGGTCCAATCAGGGGTCCCTTTTGCCAGCAATACTGTAATTTTTGAATAGTTGCTCAACAGAGGTAGTCCTCAACTTACAACCATTTGTTAAGTGACCATTCGAAGTTACAACAGCGCTGAAAAAAGTGACTTATGACCATTTCACACTTACAACGGTTGCAGCATCCCCATAATTACATGATCAAAATTTGGGCGCTTGACAATTGGCATGTATTAAGAACTGCGGTGGCGCAGTGGTCAGAGCGCATTGCTGCAGGCTACTTCTGCTGACTGCCAGGAATTTGGCAGTTCGAATCTCACCAGGCTCAAGGTTGACTCAGGCTTCCATCCTTCCGAGGTCGGTAAAATGACCCAGATTGTTGGGGGCAATAGGCTGACTCTGTAAACCACTTACAGAGGGCTGTAAAGCACTGTAAAGCAGTATATAAGTCTAATTGCTATTGCTATCACAACTGTAGTGTCCCAGGGTCAACCATTTGTAATCTTCCCAGCTAGCTTCCGACAACCAAAGGCAATGGGGCCAGATTCACTTAATAACTGCATGATTCACTTAACAACTGTGGGCAAAACATCATAAAATGGGACGCAACCCACTTAACGACTGTCTTACTTAGCAAGAGAAATTTGGGACTCAGCTGTGGTTGTAAGTTGGCGACAACTTGTAAATCTAGGTGAACAACAGTTAAACAGTTGAATAGTTGAACAGTTAAACAGTTAAACGGAGGCAATTAAATGCTTGAGCACATGTTCATTTCAGGATTTTATCTTTGGAATCAGACCTGGAGTTGGAATGCACATTTTTTCACATACAAACTGATTCACTTGCTTCACTCGCAGCTTCTACATATTCCTGAACTAAGGCTAACCTTTGACATGTGCACCATGATGACAGAACAAGAGCTTCCTGACTTCACTATTCTGCGATCCAGAACTCAGCAGACCAAGTCACTATTTCAAGGCAATACTACACCAAAATCGAAAGAATGGAGAAAAATGTGTATACTATGCATATGAACGGAACAGTACTTTCTTATAGTTTGAATTTGATTGATGGCACATATGCCAATGGAATTAGATATTAATCAACATATTCTCTGTAACAAAAATGATGTATCTCTACCAATTTAAAACAATGTTTACTAGAACGTGACATTAGATAAAATAGCAATAGCACTTAGACTTATATACTGCTTCACAGTGCTTTACAGCTCTCTCTAAGCGGTTTACAGTGTCAGCATCTTGCCCCCAACAATCTGGGTCCTCATTTTACCCACCTCGGAAGGATGGAAGCTGAGTCAACCTTGAACCTGGTGAGATTTGAAATGTCAAATTGCAGGCAGCCAGCAGTCAACAGAAATAGCCTGCAGTACTGCACTCCAACCACTGTGCCACCACAGCTTCTATAATAATATATGCCTGAGCATAAAAAGATCAGTTTTGTGATTTTAATCCTTTGGTTTCACGCAGAGGATTAACGAGAGAGGACTTGATTTCTTTAGGCAATCAATTTTGCAATATAGGTGAATCAAGTAGTTTTCTCTGTGATCATACTAGAGATATGACTGAAATATGCCTGGGAGGCCAATCACAAAAACAAAGGCAAGTTTACATGCATGTAATTGATGTCATAATCTGCTCTCAAACCATGCCAGATTTTTAAAAAATCATTAGTTGAGTCCAGAAACTGATCATAAATCACTACAACTGATACAAAATTCAAGTATTATATACTGTACAACACTGATTTTACAACTCAAAATAAGTGATCTTTCACAATAAAATATACTTTTTAAAGTATAAGATATACTGGAAAACTATGCTGCTTTGATGGAAATGAAAATATCTTACAGTTGCACAATCTCAAGAATGAAGCATTTATGTTGGGAGCAGTTTCAATAACATTTGATAAAATTCCTGCCCACAGGAACTATTGCTAATATAAAACCAATACTCCTAAATAAGATAATAGCTCAAATACCAACACCATACCTTTCTCAACCAGCCAGCCAAGGCATATCGTAATAAGCATCTGTGTAACTTCCTTCTATTGAGTTCCTAGTTCAAGTAAGTATAAATGTTTTACAGACTTCACTGAAACCATAAGCAGGAAGCAATTAACAGTGGAACAATTCGGTTGGGCTAGTAACATGAAACTTCTGTCAGCAGTGTGTGTCTAATACATTAAAATTTACTCCTCCCTTTTATTGTTCATTCAAAGGTCATCACTCTTAGCATTCATCATCCTTTTTCATAATGACCCATCTTGAAATTATAATCTTCCATTACTTTGTCATTCTCTAAAAGCTCATATATATACTTCACACATACAGTATCTGAAACACTCTCTTACTCAGTTGGTTTACTCTTATACATTCTTCCTCATATCCTTCATTGTGTCATCTTGGGAAATTTTAAAAAGTTTTCTGCATACACTTACAAAGAGAACTGGATTGTACACCCAATAGCAAAATCTTCTCCTTTATCCAAGCAGATTCTCCCCACCTTATTTCCAAAGACACTTTCTAGCCATCCACACACAACCCACCTCCCCTCCCCAAATACATAAAACAAAATACACAAAGGAACCCTCCTAGGTTTAACACAACTCCTCCAGCCTTTCTTTCTCAACCTTGGGTCTCCAGATCAGTGGTGGGTTGCCCCTGCTTCGGACTGGTTCTATAGAACCGGTAGTAAAACTGGCGGGAGGCTCCGCCCACCTACCCTGACATCATCAGAGTACTTCTGCGCATGCGCAGAAGAGCACGCGGCCCCATTGCAAACCTGTAGTAAAGGTAAGTAGAACCCACCCGGCTCCAAATGTTCTTGAGCCATTATGCCAAACCAAGCCACCGTGACCGAAGATCAACAATGCAGCTGTAGCCTGACCTGACCCATGTCTTTTCACCCAACCACTATACAGGCAGTCCTCGACTTACGCCAGTTTGTTCGAAGTTACAAACTGGCACTGGGAAAAAGCGACTTATGGCCATTTTTCATACTTGTGACCCTTGCAGCATCCCCACACGGAGTCACTTGTGGGTCACCTTTTGCGACCTTCCGGGCAGCAAAGTCAACGGGGAAGACAGATTCACTTAACAACCTAATTTAACCACCAAGAAAAGCCGTAAAATGGGACCAAGCTCAATCAATTTCTCACTTAGCCACGCAAATTCTGGGCTCCATCGTGGTCGTAAGTGGAGGACCACCTGGAGACTGTCAGCTGCCTCTCCTCGAACCTAATTCCCACCTCACTCCTCCATTTTTTATCCAATTGCTCCCCTGCCTGCTTGGAAAATCAGCATGCGGTAGTCAGGCGTGCTTTTTGAAGGAGAAGAGTGCCTCTGGACAAGTACAGAGTGCCTTCCTCTCGCGAAGGCAAAATAGCCCTTAGACACATGATGGCAGAAGCCTGGCTTTTCGGGAAAGCCAAACGCCCAACCTTCTCCCCTTTCCAGGTGCAGAGAGCCCCGTCGCCCCCTCGCCGAGCCTCCCTCCCTCCCTCCGTCGCAAGTCACAGGCAGCCGCACCGAGGACCGTTACCGTCCACGCGCGCGCCACCGCCAAGCGCTCTCCCCATCCGTCAAACGCCAACGAGGATTGCGCAGGCGCCGTGGTTTGGCGCGGGGAGAAGTGGGCGGGGCGCAGAAAACAAGAAACAAACTTGAGGGAAGGTGGAAGACAGGGTTAGCGCGTCTGCGCCCAGAGTTTAAAACGATTGGTTTGCGCATGCGGTTCTTTTGGTGCCGTTAGCGGCTCCTTACCGTGCTCTAAGAGAGAGAGAGAGACGAGAGGTACCATCGCCAGAAAAGAGTTTCCCCTTCTGCGCATGCGTTGCGGTCAAAGGATTGTTTTAAAGTTCGGATAATAAGGCATGATGGGAATCGTAGTAATGTCCGGAGGCGAAGCAAATGAAGCGCCTCGTTCTCCAACCTTGTCAAAAGTACAACTCCTCAAAGGCGCCAAAAGTACAACTCCTTGAAAGGCTGCCGATTGTAGGGCAGTTCGAATTGTAATGCACAATAGCAATCATCATCACCATCATCTGAAGTTTACTGAAAAATGGGCAGGTCCCCGAGCTGGGGCAATCCTAAAGGTCAAAATGGTATCCAAAACTGTGTAATTAAAATCCCTGCCTCTTGTTTTATGTGGCTCCCATTATAAATGGGCGGAATTTCAACGTATGATGACAGCTGCCAGCTGGACTCCTTTTACACACACAGCACACACACAGATCTTTCTGCAAAATAAAAATAACTTAAGAAAAGTAATAAGAAAAGCAAAAGTGATAAATTAAAGAAAACACCCATAAAGGAGCAGATTCCAATCTTCTATACAGCAGTTATAAATGCATTTACATTTTATTCTCTCTGAGTTTACATCGTGACACTCTTCTTTCCATATCCTAACCTTTCTAAACATCAAAAGTTCATTTCCCCCCTCTATTTTCAGCAAAAAGTCCACAAAGGAGGTCTGGTCTCTAGTATATGTAGCTATTGTCCCAGTGGTAAAATTCAATTTTTTTTACTTCTGTGGGCATGGCTTGGTGGGTGTGGCAGAAGGATACTGCAAAATCCCCATTCCTACCCCACTCTGGGACCAGCCAGAGGTGGTATTTGCTGGTTCTCTGAACTACTCAAAATTTCCGCTACCGGTTTTCTGAACTGCTCAAAATTTCCGCTACCAGTTCTCCAGAACCTGTCAGAACCTGCTGGATTTCACCTCTGTATTGTCCATTCCCTAATCAAACACAAATTTGGCCATCTCGGTGAATTCCGTCAACTTCACTAACCAATCTTCCATTGTGGGTATTTTACAGTCTTTCCACAACCTTTCAGCTTTTCAGAGAAAGTAAATATAGAAAGATGGTTCTCTGTCATTCAGCATCCTAGGGGCATGCCAAGGTTGTTGGAAGGAAGGAAGTTTGCAAGTCACCTAGAGATGCCATGGAGTTGGAGAAATGTTTTGTTAAAATAAACATATAAAATAATATGTGACTGCTTCCTACATTCTATACTGCTGCTACACCATTACTATGACAATCATTGCTATAATATATTCTTCAATTACTACGACAAATGTTTACACTAAATTATATTATTATTCCATGTACTATATGCTATTACTCAGGGGTGAAATTCAGCAGGTTCTGACAAGTTATGGAGAACCGGTAGCGGAAATTTTGAGTAGTTCGGAGAACCGGCAAATACCACCTCTGGCTGGCCCCGGAGGGGGGTGGGAATGGAAATTTTGCAATATCCTTCCCCCAGGATTGGGGGGAGAATGGGGATTTTGCAGTACCCTTCCCCTGCCACACCCACCAAGCCACGCCCACCAAGCCACACCACGCCCACCAAGCCACGCCCACAGAACCAGTAGTAAAAAAATTTGAATTTCACCACTGCTATTACTGTTCAAGTATTATTACCTATTGCTCTGTTCTCTTCCAAAATATACTTCTCGCCCCATCTTGCCCCACATCTATGTCAAAGTTACAGTGCTATTGGCAACAAGGCAGCATAGGTGCCTGCGATTTTGTCAAGCAGACTGCTATTCCACAGAGTCCAGATAAAGTCTTAGCTTAGCTGAGGTACACCTTGACTCCAAAAAGACAGTTTTTAAAAAGTTATATCTTCTTTTGCCATACTTAACATATTTTCATCATACCTTTCATTCTCTATATAGACAAGCATGTACTCTCAGATGGATGCCCTGCCTTCACTGGAGATTATAGGAAGACCTCATAGCAGTGGTGAAATCCAAATTTTTTTACTACTGGTTCTGTGGGCATGGCTTGGTGGGCGTGGTGTGGCTTGGTGGGCGTGGCAGGGGAAGAATGCAAAATCCCCATTCCCACCCTATTCCAGGGGAAGGATACTGCAAAATCCCCATTCCCTCCCCACTTCTGAGGGAAGGATATTGCAAAATCTCCATTCCCACCCCACTCTGGGGCCAGCCAGAAGTGGTATTTGCTGGTTCTCCGAACTGCTCAAAATTTCCACTACCGGTTCTCCAGAACCTGTCAGAACCTGTCAGAACCTGCTGGATTTCACCCCTGCCTCATAGCACTCCTTGGAAGCCATTTAAAGATTGAGTTTGTGCCATATTTGGAATTAGATTGTCTCATGCCACTTCTGGCATCTTGATGTCATTAAAACATTAATGCACAACGATTCCCATCTGCTACAGTTAGTGATTACTCATTGGCTGTTGCAAAATCAACATAAAAAGTCTACAAAATTTTTAGATGTGCTAAAGGCCAACAGAAACAGTCAAATATACTCTATAACCAGTTAAATCCAGTTTTTTCCTCTATTCATTCACTTGTGCATTTATTGACTGCTTTGTTCCCAGTTCTTCCATGAGGTATCTATAGAAAGTTAAGACAATAATCTTTAGTCTCTGCTGAGTTTGCTTTAGTCATATCATAAATGTTAAATTAGGATTTATGGGGAAGGCTGCTTTGAAATGTTATATTAATATACACAAAGAATAAATGTTAAAGTAGGATCTATTATACAGTCTTAAAGTGGAAGGTTGCTTTGAAATGTTGTAATAATATATAGATATAAGTTTTGGGGAGGACAAAAAGGGCAGATTATTGCTAAATTGGGAGTTATAATAATATTATGCTAAACTAGAAGTTATCATACAATGTTATAGCAGACTGCTTTTTTTTTTGAAATGTATGGTAAAAGGGGAAAGTAACAATATTAATAATATTTTTAGTAAGTAAGGGTCAGTATATAGAGGAGGGAGTAAGGCGATGGTAAAATATTATGTAATCTGTTATGAATTAGGTTTTTGGTGTGAAGAAGTCACGGGGGGGATGGGTGGCGAGGGGGGGTTAGGGAGGAGGGGGGAAGGAAAAAAGGGGGGAAAATTTGTATTTGAAAACTTTTTCAATAAAAAAAAAAACATTAATGCGCAACGATTCCCATCTGCTACAGTTAGTGATTACTCATTGGCTGTTGCAAAATCAACATAAAAAGTCTACAAAATTTTTAGATGTGGTAAAGGCCAACAGAAACAGCCAAATATACTCTATAACCAGTTAAATCCAGTTTTTTCCTCTATTCATTCACTTGTGCATTTATTGACTGCTTTGTTCCCAGTTCTTCCATGAGGTATCTATAGAAAGTTAAGACAATAATCTTTAGTCTCTGCTGAGTTTGCTTTAGTCATATCAAATTGGCCTTTGTTGCCTACTAAATACCACCATGGACACGCTCTTTAATTATTGTACAATCCCCCTCATTTTGATGTTTTTTCTCACCTGTGGTTATGCAGCAAATAACCCAACAAAGATTTTACCTATGTGTGCTCTAAAAACAATATAAACTTTAGCATAAAAGCAATAATCAACAAATAGCAAAGCAAAAAGCCAATATCCCAGGAAACAACCAACAGCTTCCAGAGCTACAGGAGATTTAGCTAGGCATTTGATTAGTCCCCAGGGCTCTTGTTTAGAGAGAAAAAGCCTACCATTCAGAATTATAGGGAAAAAAACCTTATGACACTGCTATTGGGACTGGAATCTCTTTGTATTTAGTCATTCTTGGAAAGAGTACCAGAGTGTAGAGAAAAAAGGAGCGTCTAGTGAGACAGACAGGAATGTCTGCTTTTCAGGAAGGGCAGGAATCTGTGGTTAATTCGGTTCACAACAATGAAGCTGAGGCTATTGTACATTTGGGAGCTTCATCTGGCATTAACATGGATGACTGCCAGGTCCTGGTCTCCTACAACTGGGCCACAAGCAATGTTTCTGTACTAATAAAAGCTAATCCTCTTAAATCACCCGTTATTTTGAGAAACGCGAAAGAAGCTTTGTAGACATAGTTTAGTAAGCTACCTTGCCCAGCTTCTGGTGGTGCTCCACATCTTATACCCACCACCTGATTTTCTAGGGAAATGCTTTAAAAGGAGCATATGAAATATTGTTTTGTAAATATAGTCTGCATGCTCAAACTCATAAATAAAGTCACATGTTTGAGGGGTAGCTTTTGGTCAAGTACAGAGAAAGCCCATTGTCTCAGGCCTTTCCTTTCCTTTCTTTCCTTTCCTTTCCTTTCCTTTCCTTCCCTTCCCTTCCCTTCCCTTTTTCCTTCCCTTCCTTCCCTTTTCTTTCCCTTCCCTTCCCTTTTTCCTTCCCTTCCCTTCTCTTTCCTTTTTCCTTCCCTTCCCTTTTTCCTTCCCTTCCCTTCTCTTTCCTTTTTCCTTCCCTTCCTTTTTCCTTCCCTTCCCTTTCCTTTTTCCTTCCCTTCCCTTCCCTTTTTTCTTCCCTTCCCTTTTCTTTTTCCTCCCTTTCCTTTTTCCTTCCGTTCCCTTCCCTTTTTCCTTCCCTTCCCTTTTTCCTTCCCTTCCCTTTTTCCTTCCCTTCCCTTTCCCTTCCTTTCCCTTCCTTATATGATTGGCTCAAAAAGAGGGCTCCATTCCCCAACAAACATTGTATTTGAACTTTTTAATCAGCAGAA